GGTAAGATGAGCAGAATAGAATACAATTTCAATGTTCGTAACATTTAATTTAAAAGAGGGTTCAGTACAAAGTAGAGCAATATTCTTTATTTTAGGATATTACATTGAAAAACATGTCAAAATTGTTACACAATTGCAGTTGTGTTTCGATGTGTATCAATGCATCTCATCAGGTGATTATGAATTACTGGCAAGTGAATGATTTATTCAGATTTAAAAGCAAAATACACCCTTTTTCATGAAAAAAAAGAATAAAGGGGCAGTGTTTGTGGGCTTTACTCGGATCATCAATTGCATATGACCTACATTAAATTTAAATTAAGGTAAGAAGCAAAAATTAAGATTTGAAATCAATGGCACCAACAGACGTTAAACATGAGCGGATGTAAATGGATACATATTGTACATTAGACAATGTCATCTCTTAAGAAAAAATGAAGTGGTAATCTAACAAAATGCTAGACAAGTTGTATGCTTTGTGAGTTTCCTACATAAAAAAAAAAAAAAAATTTTATAGTTGATAAATAATTTCTTTAAGAAACCAGTAAATAATTTAAATGTATAGACTTACTTGGTAAATTAATATGCAACTGTTGAGTAAAGGTTCTTTATATAAGAACCAATCAATGCAAAATGTCAAAATACCAACCAAATACCAATACATCCATACAAGATGTTACAAACACTACCATGAGATTAATACAAAATTATATTAAATCCAAATTAATATTACCAATAGAAAGATAATCCATATATGGTGCAACACAGTTCAACTAAAATCTAAGAAAAAGCATTTCAAATTCCAAGTCTAAATGAATTATACGGTAAAAGGTAGACTGTTTACAATTTACTGTTAACTAGGATCTTTGGTTTAATAAAGCATTCTTAATAGAAACTACTAAACGAGAAAAATAAAATCGTGGGGAAATGTAGACGTTCAAATAAATACTTTGTTACTTAAATACCAATAGAAACAAAAACAAATAAACACAATCCCACTACATATACACACAAACACACATACATAAATAATTAATCACGAACAAAAAAACAAATGACAAAAGATAAAGAAAGGAACAACTAGATAAAACATCACTCACTAAAAGAACACACCAAATATCAGCAAAAAACCAGCATATGCGCACAAACACCTAACCATGATCTAAAAATAAGTAAAAAAAAAAAAAAAAAATCAAGTTGCAATATATACTGACGTGTTAAAAAAAAAGTTCAACTCAACACAATAAAAAGAGGTCAAGCCCACATAAATCAATTAAGTGAACATATTCACGATCAAAAGAAGTCAGCACAATACAAAGTAAGCAATCACCAAGAAACCCTGCACTACTTAAAAAAAACCAAAAAAAAAAACCTAAAGATGAAAAAAGATAATACAACACCCATTAAGTGAAAAAGAAAGTCACACATTCGCACAGAGATATCAAATTACACCAAAATATACATAAATATGAAAAAGTTGAGAAGTTGCAGTAGAGAAGCCAATAACCCTGAAGAATGAAGGCATTGCAACAATGTGGTCATGAAACTTTGAAGTAGGCATGACTGAAATAATAACAACACTCAGTTTAGTGGCAAGTTTCTCTACATAAATTATGTAGGTATATATATATATATATATATATACACACATATATGGTTGGTACACATGGAATAAAATTTCAATAAACAAAAACACTAAGAGTGCTCAATACTGAGATGAGCTAATAATATTTATTCAAATTTATAATATTGCTGGTATCTTATCAAATGATCACTTAGATCTACCAGCAATGTAGAAACAAAATTGCAACTTTTGTAGTGATCTTATAACATGTATATGTTATAAATTTGAATATATATATATATATATATATATATATATATATATATATATAGCCAAAAATGATCTTCACTATTGTTTTTTTCAATTTATTTACACAAAAGTAAGGGTTAAAAAAGTATGTCATTTTTCTACATAATCTCCTTCATTTGCAATGCACTTGGTCTAGCGGTTCACAAGCTTGTGTATCCTCCCCCAAGAATGTTTTTCAGTTTGTTGCACAACAATTTATGCACTGCTGCTTCCTGCACTTCTTTTTATCCATAAGAAATCAACAACCTCATAAAGTATCTTTGAGTTGTCCAAAGAGATGACAGAAGGCACAAAATCTGGGCAGTAGGCAGGGTGTTCCAGCATCTTAAAACCCAAATGGTTAATGGTTTCAGTGGTCTGGCTGGCTGTATGTAGACATGCATTATTATGCAGCAAAAAATTTTTCTTTGACAATAGGCTTTGTGTGTTTGGTGTGAGTTGCTGGTTTCAGATTGTTGGCCAGCAAAATACTGTATCTTGCACTGTTGATCATAAACATCTTTTCCGTGTAATTTTTCAGTATTGGCCCTTTTTGCTTTTCCTGCTGAAGATTGAGTTTTGAATTTCTTCATTGTTGGTGAGCCAGGATATTACCACTAAATACACTGTCTTTTGGATTCTGGTTTATAGTCATGGACCTATGTTTCATCTTGTTTGTATGTGGTGGAAAAATGTATATTTCCATGTATATGTGAAGATACACACACACACACACACACACACACACACACACACACAGAGGGTGCGATGGGTAAATTGTCGCAATTTTATTTTTATTTTTTTTGTACATGTGTGTTTGTTCTTGATTTTTGTCGACTGCACAGTATAATAGGGTCAGTTGGGCTCCATCTGAGAAAAAGAGAACCTTGATGCAATGCACTCTGACAGAAATTAGGAAATTGCATACTTCTAGCTTGGCGTTCATGCTAGAAGCTCCAATATGAACAATTCAGCATCTTTGTGTCAATCTGAGGACAATGCAGAGGGTCCAGAAAATGTTAGATGAGTCTAATGGTGATTATGAAGGTACAGCAGAAAACTCACTCTGATAATTCTGATAAGAACTCCTGAATTTGTTGTTGAGAGCCTCAAATTCAACATAGAGGCCTACATCAAGTGACTTGGGGAGGTAATACTGCCTTGGGTCAAGAGGGTGGCTGCTGGAAGAACCTATGTTTGGCAACAGGACTTTGCACCATGCCACACAAGCAGGAGAACCCAGTCATGGCTGTCAATTTCAGTAATTACATCACTTCTTACGTCTGGCTACCTAAGTCCTCAGACTGCAACTCCCTTGATTATTATGTGTGCAGTTGAGTGCGAGACCAACAAAACCCTTTGTAACACCAAAGATGCATTGAAGGCAAGGATTAGGGGTGTATTCACTTAAACAAAGAGACTGACCAGAAGAGTTGCAATAGATTTGTAATTCGTGGTTGAAGCCAATGGCAATTTTATTGAATAAATTTATTCTTTAGTATTGCAAGTTATTTTTTGTGTAATTTTGCTAAATATATCTGTTAAAATGAGACATTGGTGTTATTTTCATTTTTGCATTTTCATTTAACCATTTCATCATGTGTGTGTGTGATATATAAGGAAAGGGATGGATTTTTAATTTCTTAATTTAACAAATTTTTATTACTCAAATGTTATTTTTAGTGGATCCTGTTAGAGAGTGCATATTATTCTCTAATAAGATTAACTTGAATATTCAGGCTGGTAGATGAAAATAAAATAATTTATTTACACTATCTACTTTGTTTAGACTGTTGTCCTCATCTTTGTTGCCATATTCATGATGTTTTGGCCATTGTATGCTCTGGCCTTCTTCAGGTGATTGGAATTTCAAACTGAGCCCTTTATTTCATCCACTGGGGTAGATTGTTCTAGTTCCACATACCATGCTTCAAGGACACATGACCCAGTGGCTAAAAGCATTGATTGAATCCAGTGACTTGACCCAAAGCGTTGTGAGTTCAATACCTGGCTACTGCAGTGGTGAACATAAACTTGGAGTTGAGATAATGGAGACATCCAGAAGAGGCATGGCATGTGGGACAAAAACAGTCTACCCTGGTGGATGAAACAAAGGGTTCAGGTCAAAATTCCTGAATTCAAAATCACCTGACAAAGGCCAGAGCATAAAACAGCTGAAATGAATATGAACAATATAAATAGTGTAAATAATTACAATACTTCATCTCAGAAATACAGATATTGAAAATAAATATACTGTTCAATAAATAAACAGAGCACCTACTCAAATATGAGTATCCACTAAAAAATAACATTTAAGTAATATATATATATATATATATATATATATATATATATATATATATAAAAATAATTTCTTTTAAAAATATGCATCCTTCATGACAGAAAATTTCCATGTTTCAAAACTGAATCATATTTTTAAAAAGAAAATAATTGTAACATTTTGTTCGACTGTATTGAGCACTTTTTTTTTCTTAAATAAAAATAACTGCTAAGAACATCGGATTATAAATCTTACTGTTCTTTCTTATTTTAATATATTTATACATATATATATATATATATATACAGCCACTCATCGAAGCGGAGTTATTCACATATGCACACAGGCATATATATGTTGTATTTGGGCAGCAATTTTTCATTGGTTAAAGAATTTAAGAATTTTTATTTTTCTATATTTCAGGTTCTGGCATATATTTAAATATAAATAATCCAATGTCTGAGTACTTTAGGTTATTAACCAAAGATTTTTTTTTTTTATCTTTTTTCTTTCTTTGTGCTGTGTCAGTTTCTTATGCTCTTGTATTTTTTTTTATTTCATTGAAACTTTAGTATATTTGCTTCTAAATTTGATATCATTTTAAAGGTGTGTTGTTATTTTTTTTTTTATACTTTTTACTTTTAATGTTTCTAGTAATTTTTTTACAATTTACCTGATATTATATTTTTGCGTTGTTAGTAAAGATTTGCTGGATTTTTTGGTTGATGATATATGATTTAATGAAGCTATTATTAGATAAATTTCAGGTTAAACAGCATGATATAGATGTTGTGAAATCAAGATATTTGTTGTTTGAAACATTATATATAAAATATATTTTTTATTTTTATTTTCTTTTTAAAGAAATGTTTTGAAAGGTTGCGGAAGAGTCGGGAAAAGCTTTTGTCAAAGTTCCGTCACATTGATTCCACAGAACAGGAGACAGATTTTGGTCATGACTTAATCAAAGACATAATGAGCAGAGAATGGAGAACACTTTGGGATGAGGAAACAGAAATGACCAAAGTAGCAGATCTTCCTCTTGATATTTCTTTCATTGTAAGCAGTTTTTTATTGATTATAAATGCCTCTCGAAATTTTATTATACTGTCATTTAACTGTAAATATTGAGCATTTTATTTGTATCTATGTGGAAAATGAAAGGTGGCAAGCCAAGTTCAAATTGTGACATCATTGTAAAGACTATTAAGAATATGAGACTAAATCTTTCGTACATAAAACTATTATTTATTCACAGCTAATGTTGACATTAGGGTGTGTGGCTTTGGGGGTTTTCTTCAAACATGGATCTTCTTATGAGAATATGAGACTCTTTCTCTTTTCCCTCTCAGGTGGGTCACTTATATAACTTCCTGTACTTCAGTTGTCCCACATGTGCACATCCTAAACACAGCTGGGTTGACAACATTTTTACCTGTTAGGGACCGCTACTGGCGTACTTGGAGATATAATTCTGCACCTGGTGGCTATGAGGTCACCTTCCAGGCCAACCCTTTAATGTACTTAGCTTCTCTGATGCCCTGCTGTGACACTGAGTGTAAAATCTACATTAGTATTTCTTAGGCTGAGGCCAGTATATATTTGGGTCACCACAAAGCAACTGTTTTCATCACAAGCTACAAAATTACAGTTGAGTTTGTTGTATCCACTTTGCCTTTGGGTAAGGCATAAGTCCATTTTTTCACTGCTTGTTTATGGGGAAAATAGCAGAGCAGACTGATTTCTTTAGCCTTGGTGGGCAATCAGTAAAAGAGAAGGATAGCTCTAAATTCAATCATTACCCTTTAATTTTATGGCTAAAAGCCACCACCACGTTGTAACACTGGTTCCTGTACAGTCACCAAAGTTAAACAACGTTGAGCCTGGTCAGTACCTCGGTGGGTGACTGCCTGAGAATACCAGGTGCTCTAAGTTTTGAAATGCAGATAATGTCTCTAAATTGTTAATAGGAAAGTTCCAATTCCAGTTGGGTTTGTTATATTCACTTATGCTACCTTGGGAAAGGTATGAATCCATCTCTTCTCCCCTCAGCTATGGGTTAATTAGTAAAATTGATATCAGTAAACCATTATTATCTCCCTCCCGCCAAATTCTTACAGTGTAAAAATATTTTCTGACTTTAAATAAACTACAAAGGACTGATAAGCTGTAGAAAACAAAACTATTGCTCTATCTTTTGCTGAAATCACAGCAGTATCACCTAATGTGGTGTCGCACTGTTCCAATAGAAAGTTACAGATTCAAGTTTTTGTCTGTAATGTTTATAACTTTTTGGTGTATGAGAGTTAGCTCCCCTTGCATTGAAGATACAAAATGGCTGTGTTTTTGCTATGGTGGACTTTCCTAAATCTTTTGGGGTCACTGGTACCTACCATATGTTTAAGAGTTGACCCATATGATAAGTATAGGCCTAATTCAGAATTTTGAGCTAAAAATCTTAGTCAATTTGTACACTGCAATTTATGGTATGTTGTTTACCAACACAAAATTTTTAAATCTGCAATTAAAAATCTTCAAAAAAATAAAGCAGTTATTATAGAAACATGAAATTCACTGAAAGTTAATTCATTTTATAATTACTTCACTGGAATTAAATAAAATATTACTTTTTAATTAAAAAATACAACCAAAATATTTTTGTTTAAAGTAGTTGTCTGTTACCTGATAACTTAGTACAAAAGTCAAATGGGTAACTTTCCTTACTCATAGGTGATGGATATGCAGGTAATATAAGGGTTAGTAACTTGAAAAGAAAAATTGGCATTTTGAGATAAAATTCTGATCTACTTTGTTCTGTTCACTTTTGCACAAATAACCTTGTGAAAGTTCTGAATCCATTCCCCCACCTATAGATTAAATAGTAAGGCAGACTGGGTTCTTTGTTCTTGGCTGATAACCAGTTTAGGAGGACAACTCTTAATTCAAGACCAGCTTGTCTGCTTATATAATAGAATCTCTTCAGTATTGGTTGACAATCTATCAAAAGATGATGACTCAAAAACATCCATCTCCTAGCAGTCTGGACCTCTTGTGGGGATGTATCTACTTGCACCAAACATATGTCTGATGTTCTTAAATCACACGAGTTGCGTAATTTACAATTTGAAGTATGGTAATTGTAATATTGGCCATTTCCCTATAAGGAAACATTCTGCATTCATTGAACAAATACCCAGTACTGCTTTCACGTGAAATTTATAAATTCTTTTAAAACAATTTTTTGGGAAAATAGGTTTCTCAAGTCTAGTTGTTGTTATCACTCTTTTCACCGTTGATGGGGGGGGTTCCTTCCTAACCTTTTGTTTGAAGTAGTGTGGAATATCAGCATCTTGATTAAGTTATTTTCTCTTTGAGCTACACATTATATCCACTTTAGTTGTTGCTACTGTTGATAGTCCTAAAGTTTCTCTTATTTGGTAATTCTTTATTTGTGATTCTGTAGTGCCAATCCACAATATTCAAAGAAAAATGATCTTTGCCAAAACCCTTAGTCTTACCAAAAATGTCAAAATCTGATATTGCTGACAATGCCAAAAATATATTCCAAAAATTAAAATTAAGTCATATAACCTTGGGAAAGGTATGAATCCACCTCTTCTCCCCTCAGCTATGGGTTAATTAGTAAAATTGGTATCAGTAAACTATTATCTCCTCCTGCCAAATTCTTACAGTGTAAAAATATTTTCTGACTTTAAATAACCTGCAAAGGTCTGATAAGTTGTAGAAAACAAAACTATATCTCTATCTTCTGCTGAAACCACGACAGTGGCAAAAAAATAATAATAATTTCAAAATTTATTAATATAATTATTATTATATAAGAAAAATATAATTTATAAAATAGACTTAATTGACAGAATTTTTAATTTAGTAAAAAAAGTTTTCTGAATTTGTTGACACTATTTCTGTCTATTGAATTTTTACATTTTTCACTTAACAGCCTCCTGAAGAAAATGAAAATATTGACAGACTTTTAAAAATATTTGAGGATATTGAAGAAGAACTGAAACTGGAAGGTAAAATAGTTTTTATTCCCCCCCCCTTCTTTTAATCTTAGATTTTATATTGCTTTAATCATGCTCATTTCTGTTGAACTATAACGCATTCAAACTGGTCTTTCTATATATTTAAGGCTTACAACCATATCACATTGAAACACAGGTTCTTGTATGGTCACCAAATTATCTTTGATCTCTATCTATAAAAGGCAGGATATGTGTGTGTGTAATGAATGCATGGCCGCAAATTTTGACGGATTTGCACCAAAATTTACATGCACATGATCCAAGTTAGCAGGAAGGCCAACACCAACTTTGCATTTCCCAACTCCCATCGATAGTGGAAATAATCGATTTTTTTTCATGCTTCTACAGCAGTTTTCAAGTAGTTTGCGGCCATTTTCTACTGGCCAGAGTGAGAGCCTATAGCTGGCTGCCACAAATAGGCAGGAAGATTCTATTGGCCAGCATGAGAGCCAACAGCTGACTGACACAAATGTTAACTAGTATGCTAGCATGCAAAAAAAATCAATAGCTGCATTCATCACAAGTGGGAAAAATTTAAATCTGCATGGCACTTTACTCCAATTGGCTCGTTCACTTGCTTCAACTCAATGTTGATTCTGATTCCGCAGAACTGGGTTGGGTGTGAAAAAGTATTTGTTGTTAACATTCTTTTTTCATTTGGTTTTTCCAGTTACGAGTCCTTTTTTAAAGCTGATTGTTTTGTGTTCGTTTTGTTTAGTTCCTTTTTTCATAACAGACTTAATGTTTAGCATCGAGCTTAGAAAAAATTTGCAGTGTGAGATAGACAAGTAAGGCATGTAACAACATCAGCACGGCAAAGGGCACTGCTTTAAAGGCAAGGAAGGGCAAAAATATTTTAAGTCAAGTGATAGCAATTGCTGTATGAGTCGTACGATTTTTGAATCAAGCATGGGCCATGCAGCTAGTTATTAATAAAATAATTATTAACTAAGGTTTTCATTCATTTTTGCACTTATGATAAAATAAGATAAAAAACAAACAGGAAACGTTTATCAATGTTTCACTTTTATTAAAGCTTCACCAGAGAATGAAATATGGAAAAAAAGAAGAAATTCTGGTATTTTTACTTTTGTGTTGTTTGATTTTCATTGGTTAATCATATTTCATGTGCATTTGTTAAATCAACATTAGCATAATTTGTGGTGTTCCAAATTCAAGGAGAGATGATGCGTCCATTTTAAGTTTCAAGAATTTTATTTTAATGCTGTCTTAATTTTTTTTATCAACTGCACTTGGTGACCTTAATGAAGCATCTCTAAGATATCAGTAAAGTAATAGAATTAACTGTATGTTTGTGTATATTTATATTGTGACTTTTTTTTTTTTTCCAGAATTGAAAATACTTGAAGAGTTTGAAAGTTATGAAGAAGGTCTTCTGCTTGAAGAAAAATCTCTTTGTGAAGCTTTTGAAGCTCTTTCAGCTGATGAAGTCATTTGTCCAATCTGTAAACTGTAAGTTTTAATTACTAAAATTTTAAATGCCGTAGTCAGGACATCAAAGGTTAAAAGCAGGGCCATGGAGTCGGAACAACCTCCAACCCCTCTATTTTTGACACCTCTGACTCCTTTTTTATGTAATTAAGTAATTATGGTCAACAAATCTCATTAAGCCTATGCATACACTCCTAAATTGAGTAGGCCTATATCATTGTAACAACTGGTTTATATCAAAGAATAAAGATATATATATATATATATATATATATTTTTCTTCAATATTTTCTAATAGAATTATAGACAAAATCTTTGGAAGGATATAGAAGAAATAACAATAAAAATGCTATAATGTAAGACACACACACACATATAACAACTAAAAAGTTGCAAGTTAAAAAAATAATAATGTTTTTTTATGAAAGTATTTATATTTTTTTTATATATATTTGATATTTCAGATCGAAATATCAAATATATATCAAATAATATAAATAAATACTTTCATAAAAAACTTTTTAGCTATTTTTTTCTATATATATACATATTAAGAAAGTATATGTGGCTTCTCATTATGCTATATATATATATATATATATATATATATATATATGTGTGTGTATGTATGTATGTATGTATTTAAGTAAATGCTCTGTTTATAATAAACAGTATTAAATAACATTTACCAGCCTGAATGTCAGAAATTTTCATAGAAAATATTCATCCTTTTATAAGACTTTTCTATGAAAATTTCTCGGACATTCAGGCCGGTAAATGTTATTTAATACTGTTTATTATAAACAAACATTTAAAATACTTGTATCTATAAAAAGAACGTTAAACATAAAAATGTCTTTAATAAATAAATTGTCGGACTTTGTCCATTTCTTAATATATATATATATATATATATATAATCTTTGCAAATAAGAAATAAGTACAGAACAAAAACAAAACTACTTCATAACAGAAGTTGAAATATAATCTGTTACAGGATGTAAAATCATGACAACAATACGAATTCTATAATGATTTTTATATATATATATATATATATATATAGTTTTGAAATACAAAATTACTTAAAAAAAAAAAAAAAAGTTGAGATGAATTTCTTTGAAGGAAATAGTAAATATACAGTAGAAGAAATAACAATAAAAATTCTATAATATAAGACTTTTTACATAAAGCATAAATTCAACTGGAGTTAGTATAGTTTTACTGACTCTGACTCCAGTGACCCCTTAATTGTTTCTGACTCTTCAACTGGTTAAAAAACATAGGGACACAGTAGGCTGCCTACCTGACAAGTTTGTGTGAATGCATGATGGAATGGGGCAGGTTAAGAGGGATGGTAAAAAGACAAATGTCACTAAGAGCTACAATGGATAGAAAGTTGTGGAGAACCATTATTGCTCACAGACTGAACTGAGACAGCATGTAGAAGATGATTTTGGAAAGGCTTTTTAGTTAAGCTGAGAACTCTAGCATTCTCTTGCTAAAGTACTGGAATAAAGAATTAGCCATTTTAACAAAATCATTATTCAAATTCTACAAGTCATAAAATGAAGAGTTACAAAAAACATTTTAAAATCCTAAGTAAATTGGAAATAAACATTTTTTTAAATAAATAGCAAGTAAATAGTAAATAAACATTTTTTAAATAAATAGCAAGTAAATAGTAAATAAACATTTTTTAAATAAATAGCAAGTAAATAGTAAACATTTTTTTAAATAAATAGCAAGTAAATAGTAAGTAAACATTTTTTTAAATAAATAGCAAGTAAATAGTAAGTAAACATTTTTTAAATAAATAGCAAGTAAATAGTAAGTAAACATTTTTTAAATAAATAGCAAGTAAATAGTAAACATTTTTTTAAAATAAATAGCAGGTAAATAGTAAACATTTTTTTAAATAGTAAGTAAAAAAATTTTTTAATAGCAAGTAAATAGTAAATAAACATTTTTTTAAATAAATAGCAAGTAAATAATAAACATTTTTTAAATAGCAAGTAAATAGTAAACATTTTTTAAAATAAATAGCAGGTAAATAGTAAACATTTTTTTAAAATAAATAGCAAGTAAATAGTAAAAAATTTTTTAAATAAATAGCAAGTAAATAGTAAACATTTTTTTAAATAAATAGCAAGTAAATAGTAAACATTTTTTAAATAAATAGCAAGTAAATAGTAAACATTTTTTTAAATAAATAGCAAGTAAATAGTAAGTAAACATTTTTTAAAATAAATAGCAAGTAAATAGTAAATAAACATTTTTTAAATAAATAGCAAGTAAATAAACATTTTTTTAAATAGATAGCAAGTAAATAGTAAATAAGCATTTCAACTTTAAAAATTAAGATATTTTAAAGTAAATGGTACGATAAAACGTTTATTACAAGTGTGACAAGATACTTATTCACCCGAATTTTGTTTGTTTGAAATTTATGAAAAATTTTTTAAAATTCTGTATTTTTTTCCTTTCTTTTCTTAGAAATCCTCTTCATGAAAATAAAAGTATTATTTTCTGCAAATGTGGTGTTCGTATAAACACAGAGGTAAGATAATTTTTCTTGTTGGGCATTTGGGTGACCATCTCTCATTGTTAATATCTTCCTATTGATGCTGCTTTAGTTTCAGTAGCAAGCATGTTTTTTCGGGGACAGGGTGTTAGTCTGATGCCAAGCGGGGAGTGCTTTACAGGGGTAAAGAATTCCACCTCTGCCTTTTCTATAAATACTTTCATGATAATTGTATTTTCATGATACTTTCATGATAATTGTTCTGATGAACTTTGCTCTATGGTACCTAGAATTTAAGTGCAGTACAAGATTGGCAGTTAGGTCTCATCACTGGGAAGTAAAAAGATTTTTGGAAATCAAGTAGCAACAAAACTGGAAATAAGCTATATCCAGGTGCTGGTCTATATTAAGACTCATGCTTGGGATCAGGGACAGTGCTGGTCCGCACTTGGCAGGAGATGGATGTGTCTGTGTCACAGTTCTGAAACCACCGTTTTGTATTGCCAGCCACCATGTTGATATGAGTAGATGGACGAGGAGTTGGTAGGGGGAAGAGTTGACATAGCGGAAGTTGTCACAAGTATGACCTACCGACTCACCCAGATGAGCGGGTTGATGTCCTGAATAAACAAAATCAATTTTGAGATTAAGCATCATAATCAATAAATCAATGTATTAAAGAGAACTACTAACAAATTTAGTATCAAACACAGAACAGATTTAGAAAACATTTAAAATCCAATGCTAGAAAACACTGTCTACCACCACCAACACCATTGTTCATAAAAAGCAAAACAATCCAGTTACAAATTCTAGAATGCTATGCCAAAAGCTTTTAATAAATGTCATATCATCAATAGTTTAGTTTGTTAAATAAGTAGAATATAGTCTTTCATTTATTTACAAAGATATTTGTATGTACGTGACTATAATAAACCCAATTGGAACTCTGCTCTCCAATTAACAATTCTGAGCCATTATCCATTACACCACCTGCACATCCTGGCCAGTAGATATAATACACACTGTTTAGAATCTAGATTCTGTAACTGGGTGTTTGATAGTGGAGAGTATATTTTCTTTGAGTATATAGGCCAGTATACACAATACACACTGTTTTTACAAAAAAAAACAAAAAAAAAAACAGGGTGTCTATTTCAAACATAGGTATCCACTAAAAATAACATTTGAAGTAATAAAAAAAAAAAGATGTCACATGAAAAATAAATTTATTAATTCTTTTTAATTCTTTATATATATATATATATATATATATATATATATATAATGCAATTTTTATATATATTATATATGCGTGGTACTTATTGGAAAGTACTCGATATCAGTGATAGAGCTAACATATTTAGTTTATTTAGTTGGATTGATGTGAGTATGTGACCCTGGGTTTCACGCTGATGATCGCAAAGAGCATGAAACACAGGGTCACAAACTCACATCAATCCAACTTATATATATATAAGGACCCAAACCTGATAAAAGCAAAGATTTATTGTCAAAATGTTTGTTATTATTAAGAGGAAAGACAAATTTTTTTTTTTTTTTGATTTTTATCAAATTTTTTAATACTTTTTAACATGTTCAAAATTTTTGTTAAAAATCTTTTTTTTCTTATAGCAAGGATTAGTATAGGAAATTTAGTGCCTTTTTTCTTGTAAAAAAACACTTTGATTTGGAAATTCTTGTAAAAAAAAAATCAAATAATTGTCTGATTTTAATGAAACTTTTAGGACTTATTTACAAATGAATTATTTTAGAAATTTTATTTTTAAGAAAATCTTTGTAGAAAATTTTTTTTTTTTTTTAACATCTGCTACCTCCCCCGCCACACACACACATACACTGCCACCAATACTGAATTTTGAGGAATAAAATTTTGTCTCCCACTTCATATTTATATTAGTTAAAAGTAGGACTCCTTTTCAAACAGTAACTCATTTACCGAAAATCTGCTCTGAATTGTAAAATAAAAAATGCAATCAAACTATGTCGTTATTTAATTAGAAAAGCTTTTGTTTTTATGAATAAGATATATTATGGACACTGTTATATTAAGAAAAAAAATTTTTTTCAACATATAATGAATTTTTACAAGAATTTTCTTATTTGTAATTTTAATTAGAATAATTTGTAATGTTTTAGATCTTTTAAATTTCTATATTTAATTTGTACAGATCAAGTGACATTGTTAAGTAAAAAATATAACTAATCATAAATTGAAAAGCTTAGTACAAAGCATCATACTACAATATTTTCAAAAGAATTTTGAATTTTTTTTTTTTTATATCTATAAATGTGCTGATTTTCTATTATATGGTATATGTACACAATATTATAAGAGTGATAGCTATAGTAAATTTACAGCTCAAAATATTTAAAATTCAACAAAACATATTATGGATAATATTTTCTTAAATTTTTAAGATTATTGCATACTTAAGAATTATATATAAAAGGCACTCACGTTAATTCAATTACTTTTTTTAATGCCTAAAGCCCCATAGAACAACATTAGATAAATATATAAAATATCTGTCATCAAGCTGTCAAACCTGCAAATGCCTAAACAACTACCTTCTGATTAAAAAAAAAATCATTTTTGCAATATTATTTACTTTAAGTTTAAAAACTTAAAGTAAATAATAGTTGTTTCAAATATGATTAAGTGTCCTTTAAATTAGCTAATATTCCTCAAAGTTTTAGAAAAGTATATTTTAATTTTAGAAAATTTTTAAGAAAGAGAATTACATTATGATGAAAAATGACTAAAAAAAGGGTGCTAATCAGCTATTTTAGCAAAAGAAACAAAAAATTGCTTCCTGTCAATTTAAATTAGTTTTTAAAAAACAGCAAAGTATTTTGCTTATTGGAAATATTAAATTTAATCTATTAACTTAAAATTAAAATAAATGCTTCAAGAAAGATTTTTAATTTTTAAAAATTCATTTTAAATCTTAGGAATATTCTTTTTTTTTTTTTTCTTCTTTTTTTTCCTTTCTTTTTTTTTTCCTTTTTTTTTCTTTTGACTTGCATATGGGGTGCGATGGATAAATTGTCTAAATTATGCAAAAATCAAAACGACACTGACATCTCATTTTAATGGATATATTTACCAAAATTACACAAAAATATCTTAAAATACTAAAGAGTAAATTTATTCAATAAAATTGCCATTGGCTTCAATCACAGCCTCCAGATGATCTCAGAATCTCTTGCAACTCTTGTGCACCGTCTCCTTGTTTAAGTTGGTGTGTGCTGTTATAATCCTTGCCTTCAGTTCATCTTTGGTGCTACAAGGAGTTTTTTCGTCTCTTGTTCAGCTGCACCCCATGCATAATAATCAAGAGGGTTACAGTTTGAGGAGTTACGTGGCCAGATATAAGGAGTGATGTGGGCACAGAAATGACTGGTCTCTCTTGCTTGTGTGGTATGGTGCAGAGTCCCTTTTGCCAGACATAGGGTCTTCCAGCAGCCACCCTCTTGACCCAGTGCACCACTACCTTCTCAAGGCACTTAATGTAAGCCTCCGTGTTGAGTCTCACCAACATATTTGAGAGTCCTTCTCAGAATTATCAGTGTGAGTTTTCTGAACTACCATACCTTTGTAATCACTATTAGACTCATCCAACTTTTTCTGAATCCTCTGCACTGTCCTCAGATTGACACCTAAACACTCTAAAATGTTGGTATTGGAACTTCTGCCAAGAAGTACAATATGCCGTTTCCAAATTTCTGACAGTGAATTGTGTCATAGTGCTCTTTTTCTCACAGATGGTGCCCAACTGACCCTATTATACTGTGCATTCAACAAAATCAAAAACAAACAATGCACATGCACAAGATTAAAAAAATATAAAATGGTGACAGTTTACCTATTGAAACCTCTGTGTGTGTGCATATATATATATATATATATATATATATATATATATATATATATATATATATAAAATAATATGTATGTATGTATGTGTGTTTGTATGCTCATTAAAGATTTTTAAGAAGCTAAGCTTTAATAAAATAAAATTCATGCCACATTTCAATAAAATATATATTTTTAAAATTGGTATTTCCCCAAGCAAGGCGGTATGGCCACTAGCATTCCAGGAGTTACAGAGTGTGGAGGAATTAGGAACAGAGACATTAATAATGAGCAGAAAGAGAAAAGAGCAATCGGGAGGACAATAGATAGCAATTGACATTACATTTAAATTTTTGCAGATTAAAGTTGATTGGAAAGTGTGGAGCCAGGAGGGATTCCCATATGTGAGAAATGCAGGATAAGAAACTTAGCATAGAAGTTATGGCTACATCTAGCTAGCTCAACTGTAAATTGATGAGATCTCGCTGCCAGTCTAGTATTGTGCTTAAATTCATACAGTCTAGGTTGCATAGTGAAGAGCTCATCTGAAGAATTAGCATGAAAATATTTATAAAAAATGGCACAGCGGAGCAACCTCAAGGCAGTGGGCAAGTGACTGGAGCTGAGCCACCAGATCAGGACCAATAATCCTGCTGATTCTTTTTTGGGTCTTATCAAGGAGCACCAGGTAAAGAGCAGGGGAACTGGACCATATATTAACAAGCCATCTTTTGCCCCTATTTTAGATGGTCTTGAAGTCGTTTTGTACATCAGCTGTGATTTTAACCTTGTCAGACTGATCAGCTACTTACTTACTACTGAACCAGGAGTAAATAGTAGTGTTGTCAACGTAGATACCAAGAACATTAAAATTAGTATAGTGGAGAAGTAACCTTAGACTCCAACTTTTGTACCATATCCTTGGGACTTGTCTTTTATACATGATAACTTAACCAGTTCAAGTATGGAAGGAAATCCATGACTAAACAGAGCACAAATTTATATGCATATTGTCACCTCTCTTTTCTAAATCTTTCTCATTTTTTTTGTTTTGTTTTGTTTTTACAACTGATTAAGTTTTAGATTATTTAAATATGTTAATTTTATTTATTTTTGTTTTTTTTCCCCCCATTCACAGCAAGATGGGCTAACTTTGTCCAATGTGAAACAGATGCTGAAGGATGGTTTGGAATTGCATAACTATGCATGTCAAACAGAACCTGAATTCTCCACCCTGTCTGTGTTAGGGACTACCAACCTCTTCATGACCTGTAAGGTAACATCAGGTTTGTTTTTATAAATAGCATTTTCTGTATCATTGAAAGATCAGTCATTTTACATATTTGGCAAATATGCACCTTTGTGCCTGCAAAAAAAAATGGGGTTACAAAAGGTTGTTTTTTCCCATGACACTGTTATTATTTTAACTATCTTTTCTCCTCAGCAATATTTATGGTTTTTAAAAGCGATGATTAGAACTGTAATAAAAACTAAACATATGAAAATGAATTTATGTATTTTTGTTCTTGAGAATTGACAATAAAAATATTAAAGACTATTAGATTGTTTAATTACACTATTATTTATTGGAATAGTTGGCAAAACATTGGCTAATTGCCAATTGATTTAAACTTTATAAAATGGTAAATAAGGATTTCCTTATAGTTGGTTCACATAGGTGAATAATTTAGTAAATGTTTATAAATTTATGAACAAAAATTGTTTTAATCTTTATTTTTGTATTTATTTCTTTATAAATTGGTAAATGATAAATATTGCATTGCATTAGTTTTTTTTTTTAGAATATTGTAAATAAACAATCTAATAGTGTTTAATATTTTTGTTGTGAATTCTCAAGAACAAAAAAATGTGTATAAATTCACTATCATATGTTTAGGTTTTATTCCAATTCTAATCATAGCTTTTTAAAACAAACATTGCTGAAGAGTGAAGATAGTTAAAATAAAAGCTGTGTCAAGGGAAAAACAGTCCTTTTGACACTCAATTTTTTGCAAGTTTGAGAGTCCATGTTTGCTGAATTTTTTTTATCTGAATGTCTTATAACACTTTGTTAGCAGTAGCCTAATTGTTTTCTTTGATTTGAATATTTTACTTATTGAAAGAAAGTAAATAGTCCACTATCAACAAAGAAACTAATAGATTGGAGTTTTTCAGGTATTTTATTTTAAATGATAACATAACGTTTTAATAATGAAAACAAAAAGGACACTTACACTTAACATCAAGAAGAGACAGTTGAATTTTCTAAGGCATTTAATTAGGAAAGAGGGCTTGGAAAATTTGATACTTCTAGGTCAGACTGAAGGCAAGAGGGAGAGAGGTAAACACCACATAACCTACATAGCGAGCTTGATGGCAGAACATGGTTTATGAGAAATAGCAAAAAGACAAAACTTATTAAGAGCTATAAAGGACATGAAATTGCAGAGAGCCCTGATCACCAACATCCTGAATTGTTATGTAATATCAGTTATCCTATATGGCAGTGAATGCTGGACAATCTGCTCACAGATGAAGAAGATACTTGAAGCAACAGAAATATGGTCCAACAGAAGGATGCCATCATGGATTGAACATGTGAGCAATGGTCAAGTTCTAGAGACAATGGAAATGAAAAGGACACTTATAATTAACATCAGGAGATGATAGTTGATATTTCTAGGGCACATAATGAGGAAAGAGTGCTTGGAAAATTTAATACACTATAGATTTAAGTCAAGAGTGACAACGGAAAACAACATGTAACTTACCTGGCAAGCTTTAGTAAATGGATGAAGGAACAAGTATTGGTGTGTATGTGACTATAATGAACCCAATTGGAACTCTGCTCTCCAATTAACAATTCTGAGCCATTATCCATTACACCACCTGCACATCTTTTTTTGTGTTTTCAATTATTGTGACTCTATACACTAATGTTCAAATTTAAATTCTACAGTTTCTTTTAATCATTTCACCCCAAGCAAGGCAATAGCACCACTAGGACGCAAGGAGTTACTGAGTGTTAGAGAATATGAGAAAAATTACTACTGAGGAGAGAGAACAAAAAAAGAACAAGAATTAAGAAGACAGGAGATAGCAATTGATATTGCATTTAAATTTTTGAAGATCAAAGCTTACTGGGAATCGAGAAGTGCAATAGAAGAAACTGTTAATATAGAATTTATGGTTACGTCTAGCCATTTCAGCTGTAAAATGATAAAGCCTTGCCATCAATCTGGTACTGTGCTTAAATTCATAAAGTCTAGGTAGCATAGCAGAAAGTTCATTGGAACAATTACCATGAAAGTATTTATAGAAAAGGCACAGGGAAGTTACGTTATGGTAGTGAGAAAGGTATTGAATCAGAGTTGTCATGTCAGGACCAGTAGCATTGCATATTCTTCTTTGGATTTTATCAAGAATCCGTAAGTATATAGCAGAAGCACCAGACCAGGTATGACAGTAATATTCAAAGCAAGGATGAATGGTAGATTTATAGATATGCAAGATAGATTCTGGCAAGAAAAATTGTTGAGCACAACATAGTGAACCAAATTTCTTAGCTGCAGACTTAGCAGTTGATTCAATGTACTCTTTCCACTTCATGTCAGCTTAAAACATTGGTCTGGTCACTCTCCTGGTGGTTAGCATCAGCCATGCTGATAAAAAGTAAAAAAGGTTCTCTCAGATGATTAAAAGAGTGGTTTTGTTTTTGAGGCATTAAAATTAACAAGCCACTCCTTGCCCCTTTAGCAATAGATTGTAGGTCAGTTTTGAGATCAGCTGACCTTATTGAACTGATCAGACTGACTATTAAAACGGGAGTAAATATTTGTGTCATCAACATAGATACTGAGTTGAGAACTGATGACACCAGGAAGGTCATTTATGAAAATTAGAAACAACGTAAGCTGAAGGATAGAACCCTGGGTAACACTTGCATTTATGGAATAAGATCTAGAAGAGTGGCCATTCAAGACAACTTTTATTTTGCAATTTGATAAGAAAGACTGAATCAGTTAAAAATCCATCCAGAAATACCATAACTTTTCAAATTGTAAAGAAGACAAGTATGCCAAACCCTGTCAAATGCTTTGGAGATATCCAAAACAACAGCCCAAGTTTCACCATTCTTACCTTGATAGACTCTTTCAGCAATAATTTTTAATACATCAACAGTTGAACTAGAAAAAGGACACGGGCATTAGTTACAACTTACTATTTTCAGTGAAGAAATAGAACTCTTTTTGCGGGGAGAAGAGGAATGTTTGAAGAAAGCTGTTTTGAGCATGTGTAGGTTTGTTTTTTTTTTTCTTAGGGTTTTGAATGGTTGACTCTTGAACTGAGGATATGATATTACTTAGTTTATATTATTTTTAACTAGCTAGTGGATGTAAAGTCATTTTCCCAAGCCATATTATTATGTCTTTTTTTATAAATTCTTTCATAGACCTACTATACCTACATTCTATAATAATCATCTCATGTATACCAGGTGTAACAGCATAATTGTCCATCCCTCAAAATGTTTAATATCTAAAAAAAAAACACTAAACCAAATGAGTTTCTTTTTACCAGGTTTTCAGATAAGACGTTTAGCTATCTTGACACCATTTTTCATAAGAATCACTGGAAAGCCCTTTGAGTTATTCAGCTGGAAAGAGAACAGGTTAAAATCATTTTGTGTCAGCCCCACTGTCTTCTCAACTGAGCAATGGTGAGAGGAAAAAGATTATTCAAGCCTTGACCAACATTCATACTCTGGCTTCCATCTTCAAAGACCATTCAAGAACCATCAAAAGAATGGTGAATAAGTTTAAAAAAGAGGGAACAGTAGAGAGGAAAACTGGGTCAGGAGGTCACAACAGCAAAAGGGATCATCATTTCAACTTAGAGATAAAAAAAATCAATCAGAAAAGATACAACCCAATCCATAAGAAGTTTGGCACATGAGAGAGGAGTTTCAGCTATGACAGCCCAGAAAGCAGTGAAAAATACTTGAAAATGAAATTGGAGATGAAACCTGTGAGGCACCTTGTTACTCTAGGGGAGAAAGTTAGAAGGTTAGAGAGGGCGAAGATCATCTTAAATAAGCTGGAAAATGATCCTAGAATTTTATATATATATATATATATATATATATATATATTAATTTATGATCAATTTCATCGTGATTCTTCTGTTAAGCTTGGAGAGTAATTATAGATTCTTATTGCTCAAAGGAGAGTCCAATAGTGTTAGGAAAACCTTGGAGAATTCCAGTAGGATATCTTTGATCATTTCAAAGATACATCTGTTCAAAGCTTAATCTAACAAATTGACAATTTTACTGTTACACCCGGTGTGTTTGTGTGTGTGTGTGTGTGTACACGCATAACTGTGCATACAGAGAGATACACATGCCAATTTCACTTTTTCTTTTATTTTTTATTCCTACAGGACTGTGATATGATGCATGTGATTATTTAACCGTACCAGTCATCCATCTCTCCATTGAAACACTGGGTCCAATTTATTCCTGTTTCAAACACTCATAATAATGTTCAAGGCTGTTTTTCTTTGATGCTTACTAAACGGTTTTTTTTCCTTTCTTGTTTTTTATTTTTCATTCCTAATTCTTTCTATCTTGTTCCTTTTAAACGATTTTCTTCTACATCCAACCCTGAATTTTTTTCATGTTGTTAACAATACCACTGTATATAAATGTATATTTATGCAAGTGCGCACTGTACACTAAAACTTTTTGTAACAAAATAAAAAAAAAAAAAACCTTCAAAGATTTTAAACCCTTTTTTTCTTTTTCTTTTTTTTTTTTTTTTTAAAATAAGGAATTATCATTATTATTATATACTTTGCTATTTAGACCACTATTGTTATACTCACAGAGTTATACCATCTGGCCTTCTTCAGGTAAATGTCTTTGTATCTATTAATTTTTGAATTTTGAACTGAACACCATTCAATTTATATTCTTCGTCTGCTTTCCACACTTAGGGGAGATAACTCGTGTCATTTAATTCACTTGGTCTATTTATGCTTGTGTCACTTGTCTGTTTTTCAGCACTATTGGACCCAGTGATAGAAATCACAACTGCCAGAGAACCATATACGTTTTAATCAATGCTTTAATCCACCAAGCCCTGTATCTCTTTTTGACAAGAGAAACATGACTTCAGAGATTGTGAGTATAACAACTAAAGATGTATATGCTGGTCCAGTAGCAAAGCATATAATTTTTTGTTGTTTAGGATTCTGAAGTTTCCATTTAAAAATATATTTTTAATCCTCATTTTATTAGTTTAGTGATATACCAACTTTTTTTACTTATTTATTTTTTTTGTTTTGTGTGTGTGTGTGTATTTTCATTGTTTGCAAAAATTATCAAGTTTTGTAAGAGTTAGAAATTTTTCAAGCTGTGACTTTTATCATTTTAGTTATCCACCACTACCCAAATATAGAATGCATTGAAAGTAAATCCCTCCAATTTTTTTTCTTAAAAAAAAGAAAAAAAAAGCATACCATAATAAAAAGGCCCCCAAACTTGATAAAAACTAAGTTTTATTGACAAAATGTTTATTATTAATAGGAAAAACTAAAGTATTTTTTGATTATTTTATTGAACTTTTTAATCCTTTCTAGCATGTTTGAAATTGTTATTAAAAATCTTTTTTTTCATCAGTGAGTGGGTCAAAGATTAGTATTGATTTAAATTTTTAAGTTCAAGTAGTACAATATACAGACTTGTAACAGTCATTCAAAATTCTTGGAGAAAATAATTCCAAATTTCTAAAAGGGATGTAGAAAAAAAAATTGTTACTAAATGTGTTATTTTATACTGTATTCAAGAATTCTACTAATTCACTGATATTCAGATATCTTCCTTTTTTATTAGATGCAAACATAAAAAAAAATATTGAGCAATTTCTTAAAAAACATATTTATTGGCCAACCTAAATAAAGTTGTTTTTGTTTCATACTATCTCATTCAGTTAATTCTAGATAGAATTATACAAACAATCTAATTCTGGATCTTGTAACACTTGTCAGCATTGGGGCTATCTGGTTTTCAGACAAAGGAGAAATCTTAAGAACTTGAGATTAATTAGAAGTTAGTTGAACATCACTATCAGAGTAAAGGTGAATTGTCTCTTTAACAAACATGCATTGTTCCTTAGTCCAGGGGTCAACAACAGACCCCCCCCTGCTCCCAGGCCACATCCAGCCTTCGAAGGATTTCTGTCTAGCCTGTCCACTTAACACCTGAACAGTAATTAATTTGTGGAGCAAGTGGCAGAAAAATATCAGTTGGAGTTATTGAACTTAAAATTTTATTCTAAAATATTTGTCACATTCCAAATACACTGCTGACTTCTGCAAGAAATATGTTTTACCAAGCAGAAAATATAAAACCTATTGAATAATGTGAAAATGATGGTATCATTATTTGGATGTACATATGCTTGTGAAGAGATTTTTTGCAAATGATATATACAGTGTAACCTGGATATAAGAGAGATTTTCTCTGGTCCCAAATTAGAGCCTGTGTTAATGTATATAAAATAGACCAAACCCAGATATAAGAGATTTCTTCTCCGGTCTCGACAACTCTCTTATATCCAGGTTACACTGTGTATATATATATATATATATATATATATATATGTGTGTGTATATATATATATATATAAAACCCAGATATAAGAGAAACCTGGATATAAGTGAAATTTTCTCTGGTCCCAAATTAGAGCCTGTGTTAATGTATATAAAATAGACCAAACCCGGATATAAGAGACTTCTTCTCTGGTCCCGACAACTCTCTTATATCCGGGTTACACTGTACTAAAAGTCATTTTAGAACAAGGTTAGGTGATGACCACTTGGATGATGTTTTGTTCCTTGTTTAAATAATATAACATTAACTACGTTATTTCTTTAAACCTCCAGACAAAAGTAGCTGTGTGGATGGAGTGGTCTGAATTGAAGATAATTTATTATAGTACATTTGATAGCATGGCCCTTCTCTGAGATGCTACGGAGCTGTCTGCCCGGCTCTCTTCAAAAGGTTGCCAACCTCTGTTGTAAACTATGAATGAATGAACAGACTTGATAACTACACCACTGTATCATATCTGTAAAGTAAGGATTCAACAAGCCTCAGCATTCTTTTCTTACCATTTATCTAGTAATGAGTAAAGCCTGTGGTTCTTGGTGAAGACCACACTTATTCAAACCTTGTAGACTGGAGTTAGAGAATTACAAAGAATTATATCAAATAATAGAAATGACATCACTTGAGGACTCCCAACAGTTAGAATGGATATTGTATGTAACTTGAGAAAATATTGACATAATCAAGAGGCTGATGCTCCACACTACTTCCAATAAAAGGTTAGGAAGTAAACCCCCATCAATACTGGAAAGAGCAATAACAGCTACTGAACTAGAGAAACTGATTGTCATTAAAAAATTGTTTTAAAATAAAGATTTTATATATTTCAATTGAAAACAGTACTAGCTGTTCAGTCAGTGAATGACAAATGTTTCCTTATAAGGATACGGGTAATTTTGACTATGAGGAATGCATTGGAAATTAGTCTATTATTGGAAATGACCTAACTAAATTGAAAGGACTAAAAATAAATTGCAAGAAACAGAATGCGTGATTGTTAGCAAAAGGAACAGCCCAACATGCAAATTACAAATTGGAGATACCAAAATCAAACAAGTACAAAAACTTAAATATCTGGGAAGTGTTTTAACAGAGGATGGAAAGTGTGACAGTAAACAGTGTGAAAGTAAATACAAAAAATTAAATATCTGGGAACTAGCAGAGGACAGAAAATGTTGACACCAAAATCTAAAGACAAATCGGGATAGTGAAAGTGCTATCCAAAAGCTAAGCAAAGTATTAAAAAACAGGAAAATTTCATTAGAAACAATGAAAAGAGTAATGAACTCTTACGTAATATCACTCCTCCTATATGGTAGTAAATGCTAGACAATTTCTTTGCAGATGAAGTAGAGACTTGAAGCAACAGAAATGTTGTCCAACAGAAGGATGCTGAGAATACCATGAACTGAACATGTGAGCAAAAACAAAATTTTAGAGAAAATGGAACCAAAAAAGACATTGTTTTTTGTTTTCTTTTTCATCATTTCACTCCAAGCAAGGTGACAAAGCCACTAGGATGGAGAGAGTTATAGGGAGTGAAAGAGCATGAGATGATTATACTGAGAAGAAGTTATGAAAAGAATAAAGGAACAGGATTCAAAAAGACAGAAGATGGTGATTGATATAGCATTTAAATTTTTGAAGCTTATAGATGGCAGAGAATTAATCTGAAGGGAGTTCTACAGGCGATAAATGTAAGAAAAGAAACTATTAGGATATTAGAAACTATTATTGGTTGCATCTAGTTAAATCAATAGTAAAATGGTGAGACCAAGTTGCCAATCTAGTAGCATACTTAAATTCATGCAGTTGAGGCACTAAGGAGAACCTCATAAAAACAATTGCCATGAAAATATTTCTAGAAAATTCAGAGGGAAGCCACTTCGTATTGGGTAAGTGACTGAAGTCAAGATGCAAGATAAGGAGTGACTACATTACAGACTATTCTTTGAATTTTTAGCAAGAATCTCAAGGTAAGTAATAAGAGCACCTAACCAAATATGGCAAGATTATTAAATGCATGGGTGAATGGAAGATTTCTAAATACGTAAGAGGGATTCTGATGAGAAGAATTGTCTGGTACAATATACTTTCCTAATAGTAGACCTAGCAATAGATTCTATATAATCACTCCTCTTCATATCAGTGGAAAGCAGGAGTTCAAGAAGGCACAAAGTATTGCTCTCTTGGAGGTTAGCATCAGCCATACTATTTTCTTATTTAAAGCTTGATAGACAAATTCAGTGATGGCTGCTAACGCATGGATGGTAGACCTGGAGAAATGGAAGACATTTTGATTTTGCTTATCTGAAAGGAGATTATGTGAAGTAAGATGCTTAACCAATTTGGTGTTGATTAGAGCTACTAATACATTGTCAAAAAGAGGTCAGAGACAAATAGGACAATAATTCAGAGTCAGATGGTTCCTTGGGTTCTTAAAGTCAGAAATTATAGAGTAAAACTTCCAACAAATTGGGAAGCAAAAAGTTTTGAGATATTTATTGTAAAGTTTTTTTGAGAAAACAGGAGCCAGTTCAGCAGCAAATTTCAGGATCTAGTTTAGAAATGATACTAAAAACCATGGACTGATTTATGTTCATATCACTCAGTAGAGACTCTGTTCTCAGGGAACAAATGTTTACATCTTTGTCATTATACTCAGATTTCAGCCTTCACCTGGATGTTCTGTATTAAAAATTAGGAAGAAAGTCATTGTCAGAGGTCAGGAATTAATACAAGTATTACAGATAGAGTTCTTATATATATAATTTTCTGTTTGAATTTCTGAAATGTAGAAAGTTATTATATATTAGTCTATTTGGACAAATGTTTTCATTTTTTGTCTATATTTCTGAGAGGCAGTATTTTAACTATTTTCACTATTTACATTGTTCGGATTGTTGTTATCTTTTTTTTGCAATATTCACAACGTTTCAGCTATTGTATGTTGTGCCCTTCTTTAGCTGATATTCTTGTTCAGTGGATAAAAGCGTTGGTTAAGTGATCCAAAAATGTCTTGACCCAAAGAGTTCTGAGTTTAGTCTCTGGCACAGCAGAAAGAACAAAAGCATAAATGGTTGAGTTACCAAGGGGAAATAACTGAAATATCCAAAGGAATGATACATGGAATTAGAACAATCTACCCACGTGTACTAAATAAAATGCTCTGTTCTATATTCCAACTAATATCACCTGAAGAAGGTTGGAGCATACAATGGCTGAAATGTCATGCTTATGGCAATAAAAATGAGGACAACCGTCAGAACAATATAAATAGTGTAAATAGTTTTCAACTTTGTCTTTATACATTTCTCATCTGTTCTGTATTAAAAATTAGGAAGAAATGCATTGTCAGAGGTCAGGAAGTAATGCAAGTATTACAGATTGACTTAATAATTTTCTGTTTGAATTTCTGAAATGTAGATAGTTATTATATATTAGTTTATTTTAGACAAATGTTTTTATCTTTGTCATTATACTCACAATATTTCTACCATTGGATATTCTCTTGCCTTTATTATGTGTCTGTTTTATGTATTAATCTTTTGGGATTTTTTTTTTTTTTATCTAACCCTTTATTCAGTCCAGATAGTGGATTATTCTTATTTCACTGTCAATACCAGGGGATATATTGTATCAGTTAATTCCTCCTTGTGATGCAGCTTTTGCTCTTGCCAGTGAACTAGAGAATATGACATTCACTGTTTCAGAGATTAAATTTTTTTTTCAAATATTAGGTTGTTTTGTTACATATATTCATTTGTCTTCTTTTTATCATTTATTTTAATACTTATTACTTATTAACAATTCTGATGAATCATTCAAAAATGTATTCCCCTTCATTGTTTACAACATCCTGCCAATAATCCAATAACTGTTCAATGCCTCAACAGTAGAAATCACAAGATTTTGATTGAAAAAATTTATCAAGGTACATTTTAAGCTCCACGTTGTTGTTGAACAAAACACCCCTCAAATTCTTAAAAAGCAACAGAAAAAGGTGGTAGTCTGAAGGGGCTAAATCAGGAGAATATGGTGGGCATGACAGAACTTTTTAACTGAGTTCTTTAATTGCATGTTTGATCATGTTAGCTATATGCTATGTGAGTATTGTCATGTTGAATAATCACTTTGTGTGATCGGTCAGGTCTTTTCAACTGAATTGCCTCTTTGAGCCTGTTCATTTGTTCAACATACAGGTTCATTGTTTTGAAGTATTTCATATCATTTTTTTGGTAATGGTGTCCTCTTCATACACAGCACAAATGTCTTGAGCAGCTTTGTGACCTTAAATGTTCTCCAACTTTAAAATGCACATGGAAATTCTCTTACTGAATCATTAAATATTTGAGCTTAACCACTTTAAAATATTCTAATAACAATCAAAAGTATGAATGCAGGTTATTAATTAAAGAAGTAAGGGGGTACAAATGAAAAGATTTTAAATTGACACTTTTTTCCCATTTCACTGAAATGACAGAAATATGACCCATCAGTGGTTGTGGAGATTTAGATTGAAACCAGAAACAATATTGAAAATTGCCAACATTTTTTTTAATTGGTATAACACCATGCAAGGCAATAAAGCCACTAAGATAAAGGGGCTAAAGGGTGTGAAATAATTAGGAACAGAAACTTTAATAATAAGTGAGAAAAGGAAAGAGTAATCAGGAGGACAGTAGATAGCAATTGACATAACCATGCAAGGCATATATTTTAATGTGTAATGTTTGTGAAAAAACTTGAAAAATCTTTATAAATTAAGATTTTATAAAACAAAAAAAATGAGATGAATTCAAATTATAGTAGACAACTTATTAGAATGTATTCGATAAATTAATCAGTGTCAGACGAAATAAAAATGCTTTTTATTGAAAATTAAGATACAGTACTCTACACAAAAAAGTATTAAAATACAATACTGTACATAAAAAAATTATTCAGATACAATAAAGTACATAAATTATTAAGATACAATTCTTTATAATTATTAAGTTATTAAAAATGATGTATTTTTCATGCATGACACTAGAACTGAGTCAAGTATTTTTCTGTTAATTACTTATACATAATTTGTTATGATGTTCATGCATCAGTTATTAATAAAAGTACAACATATCAAATAATCAGTTCAAGCAGTTTGCATGTTAATATGAGTAGCAGCTGGATGTAACAATCCGAGTTGAAGTCATTAAGAAATCTTGCAGTGTTTTGTCTATTTCCTGTCATAAAAAAAAACTATTATAAGAAACTGGGCTATAAAAAAAAGAAAAATTTTTCTAAAACACTTCAATAATAAAAATTTTGCATGTAGAATTAGAACAATCTACCTCAGTAGACTAAATAAAGGGTTTAGTTTGAAATTCCAAATATCACTTCTTCAGAAGGCCAGAGCGTACAATGGCCAAAATATTGAGATTATTGCAATAAAGAGGTAAATAGTCTAAATAGTTACAATATCTCATCTCAGAAATATAATCAGATGATAAAAATTTTGGATTTGTACTATCTGAATAAAGTGTTTATTTCATGTTTCATCTGTTTTTACATATTTAAAATGTCTTCCTTTCTCATATTTCTCAGTACTAGGAACTATAGGCCTCTCTACATTAGTTTTAGGGGCATACAGTCAAGGAGTTGGCTCCAGGCATCACCAAACATCTGCACATCACTGATGATAGGGCAGAAAGATAGGCCAATATTATAAACTTCCATATGCAGAAAACGGGATGAACTCAAACCATCACCAATTCTAGAAGTTGAAAATGCCACAATACTCTGAGATTTTACCATACATAACTGTACTATACAAAGCCAATAGAGCAGATACAATAATAAAAGACTTACAAAATATAAGTGCTATATCATAGATACAGCCATTATTGTCACCTACTCCTACCTTTTACCTCTTTATTCACCTTTGTTATACTCCACTGTAATTAGATCTCTTTCTGATTCACTCTACATGTCAGCTGGATGTGAATGCTAAGAAAGCAAATCACAAAATAAAAAAAGTTATTCTAAGCATCACATCCGGTCCATAAAACAAATCCCTGCAATAAAATGCAATAGCCAATAGTGAACATTCCTGAAAAAAAAAAAAAAGAGAGGAGTTGTTTAAAAGAAAACCTGTCGTAAATGACACACAATAACGAGCCAAAACGCCACATGTCAACACCAGGTGCACTGTCACTGTTACCGCCATGATCCCCACTCTGATCAACACCCCGTCCTGGGTAAGATGATAAACTACGTCCAACAGCAAGGCCTCTGATCAGGAGGTTTTGAGGAGCATGGAGCCACCTCTTAATTGCTGGTGTTCCCCGGTCCACCCTGACTCAGGGTGGTAGCACGTGTTAGGGTCCCAGCTATGGGTAAATAGTTAACACCGAAACAGGAAAAAAGCATTATGAAAGTGTAAAAATAGGTTTTAATACCAGAAATACTTTATAAAAAAATTACCAGAAATAAATTTTTGAAGAAAAAAACTATTACCAGCAATATGTTTTTGAAAAAAAACAATATTTCCAGCTATACACTTTTGATGAAAAAAATATTACCAGAAACAGATTTTTGACAAAACAAAAATATTATCTGGAAAAAAAAATTGTCAGCATTAAATAACCCATTGAGGTTGATATGCTGTAAAACAAAACAAACCAAACCAAATCATCAATACCATCACCCAAGCTTCACTAATCCCACCCGACTCTTCATATACAGAATGTGCCCAACAGGCCAGCTTTGACACCAATGGACTTCCAATACCACCACCATGATTTCTAACACCTCGATGTCTTCCCCACTCAGCCCTCGTTCTTTCTCATTGACCCCATTTTTGTTGATCTCCCATTTGACCAGAATCCAACGGGGATATTCTGCTACCAAGATACCAACACACCCCTTGTATCACCAAAGTCAGATTCATAACTTCTCCTGACTTTCCCCACTTGCATCCTCTGTATTAGATTCACAATTTCACCCGACTCTTCAAATTTGCACACGTATCGGCAAAGTGAAATTTGTAGCTTCACTATCCACCACAAGCCTCTCTTGTCATCACCACAGTCACCCCATTTTATTGATGTCCCATTCAACCAGAATCCAACAGAGACTTTCCATTCAATCAGCCTTCACTATCCACTCCAGGTCTCCCTTGTCACCATCACCATGACCCACATCAAACCCCACGAATGCACCTTATTAGGCAGTTTGACTTCAACATCTAAGCCTCATCTTATGACCACCAGCCTATCAAACATCTCACTGGTGTCGATTTCAACTTTAAAGAAACCCTGCCCATGACACTACACTTGTCTTCACTAATCCGCTCCAGACCTATCTCCTAATACCAACTGTGATCTAGGCCAACCAACCTCAGAAATCAGTCAGTTTCTCAACCAAGAACACCCTTACACATAATCGCTTTCCTTATCAACATCAGTTAAACAGCCACATATTAACAATTTGTGCCACCTTTCAGGCAACTATATATATATATATTGAAATTTGATAAATACATGCTGTTGAAATTTTATTCCTTGTTTGTTCTTTCCTTTTCAATCATACACTCATTATAACAGCTTTCAATCAACATGATTTCCACATAGTGAAACAAAATAACTACTACATTAAACACAATATTCTCATTGGTTAACACCAACCAATTGCAAATTCTTTATGTAAACTAATGTTTTGTATGAAAATTTCTTGTATGTAAATGAACATACATTTTTTTTTTTTTAATAAATTGTGCTGTATTCCAGGGAGAGTGACATTGTTTTTTTGTTGAATAAAGCCTTTCTTAAAGTTATTGCTATCTTATCTTCCTGCTATTTGAATTGTGTTCCAAATTCATAACACCAATGCAACATCTTCCCATTAAAATTAAAATCTCTCTCTCTATGGGAACCCATCATCAAGTATAAAAACTCTGACCCAAATAGTGCAGGGGAGCAGATATTCCAAGAAGGCATTTCACAAGCCTCACACAACTCATCATTTTGATGAACATTTTCATTTTGTAGATTTCATATGGCAAGAATATCCTATCAGAACACTATGAACTTTCTTTCTACAACCTTTCATCTTCTCAACCACAAATCCAGTGAATCTTTCAGATAAGTATATTTCTTATCATATGTTGTATTTATCTAACTCAGTAATAATATCAATTTCATAATATTGATTGTGGCAGAAGGAAAAACCTTCAACAAATACAGAATGATGCAACAAGAAAATGCAAGTTCAAAATTTATACTTTTCTCCTTTTTCCCCAATGCTGATTGCAATACTGTGTCCTAGTTGATAAAAAAAAGAACATCTCAGCAAAAGAATTTAACAATTTTCAATATATAAAAACCTAGAAATTACAAAAATGTGGCATTTAAACACAACCACTGTTCCAATACTAATAGAAGCACTAAGAATGATTAAAAAGAAAACTGATACAGACTTTAAGAAAATCCCAGGAAACTCATCATTATCTGAGGGGTGTTGTTGTGGGTGGTATGTTGGCATGCAAGCAGATACTGAATAATGGAAGACAACAACAAACAATATGAAGACTTGAGTAAAAAATATATTGACAAGTTTATTTTTGTTAAAGAAAATACATCAACAAAAATAAGGTCACAGTGCAGTAGGCAAAAATATCTTTGCACACTTGTCGAGGGTGAGCAGAGTGTTGTCCTGAAAAGGACAGTTTTGGTAGTCATTGTGAAGCATTGTCCTGAAAAGGACAGTTTTGGTAGTCGTTGTGAAGCATTGTCCTGAAAAGGACAGTTTTGGTAGTCGTTGTGAAGCATTGTCCTGAAAAGGACAGTTTTGTAGTTGGTGGTGAGATATGTCCTGAAAAGGACAGTTTTGGTAGTCATTGTGAAGCATTGTCCTGAAAAGGACAGTTTTGGTAGTCGTTGTGGAGCATTGTCCTGAAAAGGACAGTTTTGTAGTTGGTGGTGAGATATGTCCTGAAAAGGACAGTTTTGGTAGTCATTAGAAGCATTGTCCTGAAAAGGACAGTTTTGGTAGTCGTTAGGGAGCATTGTCCTGAAAAGGACAGTTTTGTAGTTGGTGGTGAGTGTTGTCCTGAAAAGGACAGTTTTGGTAGTCATTGTGAAGCATTGTCCTGAAAAGGACAGTTTTGGTAGTCATTGTGAAGCATTGTCCTGAAAAGGACAGTTTTGTAGTTGGTGGTGAGTGTTGTCCTGAAAAGAACAGTTTATTGAATAATGTTGCTACTTGCAAGGATGGCTGGAGTAGCAGCTAATGGCAAGTTGGGAGTTGATGATGGCTGGCTGGACAGCTGGAACTGCTGCTGGCTGGCTGGAGCTGTGGACTAGCTGTTTGAACAGATACTATACTTTCATTATTTATTTATTATATTTTATATTTTACTATACTTACCATATTATTATATTTATATTTAATATTATTTAATTTTAATATTATTTAATATTATTTAATTTTATATTTTACTATACTTATATTTACTATACTTACTATATTATTATATTTATATTTTACTATACTTTCATTATTTATATATTATTATTATATTATTTATTATTATTTATACTATCATTATTTATTGTATAAAAAATACAATTGGTGTATAAAACGGAAGGGGAAGTGGGGTGAGGTTGGCTGTCACTAACTATCCTAAACCTAGCTAATCTGATTTGTGACCCATTCATTCATTACAATTTACTCAAATACCACAAGAATACATTCTTCTTCATTCATCTGACATATGCCACTATACTGCATACTCAAAGGGTGGGGGCTACTAAAAATATCTATGGCATAAAAATTTTGATCCTAGTCATCTCAGCCACAGAAGGATGACTTTTTGGTTGCTTTGAGGTTTTTTTTATATCCTGGCTCAGTTTTACGATGATTGCTGATTATGCTTTTTTTCTTTTGGTTGTTTTTAAAAAATGTGGGAATGCCGACAAGATATGACAATATAAAAATACCCAGAAAACTCCCCCAATGTAATATTTGCAATAAGTTTCGCAGAGAAAAAAAATTATTTTACCTCAGGTAAAAAACTTGCTAGAGGATTGTACTGAACAGCAAATCATTGAAACTGGAAACAATAATAAATAAAACAGGTGAAGGAGGCACGGTGGAATAATGGATAGTGGCTTAGATTGAGGAATCGGAGAGCCGAGTTCAAATTCCAGTTGAATCCATTACATTCACTTACGCGCTAATAACCTTGGGAAAGGTATGAATCCTCTTCTTCTCTCCCCATCTATGGGTAAATAGCAGGACAGATTGGGTTCTCTAGCCTTGGATGGCAACTGGTCTACCGTAGAAAGAAATGGCAACGTACTGTGGGAAAAAATCTGCCTCGTCAGTCATGTATCGATAGATACATGATCGCCTAGGTGTGTATCATGTATGGCGCATAACCAAATGATTTTCAATATTATGGGACCAGATATATTTATCTACATTGCAACAGAATGTGACACACAAGTTTGGAGTTTAATATGGGCTTTCGGAAAAGCATGCAAAAATTGCTTAAGCAACCCCCTCCCCACCCCGGAATAAGTTCCAGATAACCCTTCCTCATTCCCGCTACCCAAAAAATAAATAAATAAAAATGATTGTTCAAGGGAGATAATTATAATAATAATCAAAGAATACTTTCTCTTATTTGTTGAGTGACTAAAGGTTCACGATATTAGAGTAATATTAAAATTGTGAACTTGCATGTGTGTACGCAAGTTTTAGTAACCTAAATATATGGTACATTAGCCAAAGGTACTTCTGAGATTATTTAATCTAAAGAATGCAAAGAGGCGATATTTAAAAACTGAATGATAATAATATTCTATGGTTACATTAATTAATTTAATTGAAACCCGGAAGAAACAATTTTTACTTATTTTATTTGTATATGAGTAAAAAAAATTATGCAGGAAAAGCATACCTCCCCCTTTTTCTACGCATAACACAGAACCTAATCTACGAAATTATTGATAATTTTTGTTTTCTCTTGAAGCGTGAGTTTTACACAGTGTTGTCTAGTTTGAATTACACAACCAACATTTCATATTGTGAAATTTAGGTTATTTTGCATTTATTTGTTTTTAAATTTGCATTTTTGGCAGCTATAACTTTTAAGTTTTTTTTGCTGCTTTCTTTTCATAAATGAAATCATTTGTTTATTTATTTCAATTATTCATCATAAAAACGCTTGAAATACATTTTCTAATTCAAGCCAAAAATTAATAAAACTACAGTACACTGAGTGATGAATTTTCATAAATATTTTTCTTTTATTTATAATGGATTTTTTTTATAGGATAAGAAATATATGTCTTCTTATGTTTTTCATGGTCAATTTTGAATAAATTTTGCTTTTGTTAATATTGCTAATTAAATGCACAGAGTTATTATTATTTATCTTGTAGTAAGAAAACTCGTAAAAAATATTCAGTGTTATTATTTATCAAGCAAGGCCATTTTTATAGAACTGATGAAGATCGCACTGATGCATGGAAACTGTCAGTCTCCATGCAGTATTGATTCCTATGTCCATATTTTTTGTATCTATATCTGTAAAAAAAAAGCCGCTCTGTCTCCAATATTGAACACTCTTCTTCTCTAAATATTTCAAATTTTAAACAATACACATCTGACATATAATTCTATTATTTCCAAAATATATTTAGTTACATAACAGTTAACACTAACAGTTTTGTGAAAGATCTTTCCTTTTCTTTTTTTCTTTCTTTTTAACGATTTGTTTTAAGTCCCGCCCACTTTTATCAGCTGGCAACAACATGGCTGTGTCGTTAAAACGTGGATGGAGTTTTCGACTTTCTATCTTTGTTTACATCGTCTTGGTGCTGGGTTTGTGCCCAGTTCTCGTGTTGAATCTTCGAATCCAAGATTCGGAAAGTCGCCAGATACGATGTTTATCCGGCATGTGGAATTTCAGGGCAGATATGTCGCCCAACAGGAGAGCAAGTTTCGAGAAAATGTGGTACAAGACATCTTTGTCAAAGGTAAAAAAAAACAATATCTTTCAAAAAATCCTTAAGAAGAAATTCTTTTTTTGGATCGATTTTGGTGAAGCTTGATTCACCACGTTGTCATTTATTTTTAAACAGGTTTTTATTTCAGAACCATGTAAAATAAAAGTAAAACTTACCAGAAAAAGAAAGAGGCAACAAAATTTTAAAAGTTTATACTTTATAGATAAACATAATTCAAAAATTGTTTATGCGCGTAAAAATTGACAAGCAAGGTAATTAATTTATTGTGATATTTTCAGTTTCTATGAAAAAAAATTACGTGGATACAGTTTTAAAACAAGTTGTTAATCCAAGAAAATGCAGGAAACATTAATAAATGCCTTAAAAAAAAAAGAGAAAAAAAAGAAGAAAAAGAAACTTTTTAAACTAAAATCTCTTTTGACTTTGAGCCAAGCAAATTGCTATTAATTTATTGTATCTTTTCACGTGTCATCGTACCTAGCAGTAAACTAAAGGATTAGGTTGGTTAAAAGTGGTTTTACAAAAAAAATAAATTAGACTACTATTTCTACTCTATGCGAACAAATGTTTTTTTTACTTCTAGTTTTAAATAAGACATTTTATTTGCTTATAAAATCGAAAAAAAAAAAACATCTCACTAACAGTGATGATTTTTTTTTTTTTCGCTCATCAACCAGTTTTTCTTTCACTTTGCTTCTCTAGTCGTGCTTAGAAAAGAGAGGGAGCCATGCGGAAATTTTACCAAAAATCGTTCCGTAAAAAAAGCAAAGCAGGTTAATTTTTTTTTCAATCAGAACAAATTTCAAAGTTTAGGTAGTCTCTTCTTTCATTGACAAAAATCGATAGTTTATTTATTCTATAAAAAAGAAAAAAAAAAGTAAAACCATTTTATTATTAATTATTTTTATATATTTTTTTTAATGTTCGTGCTCTTCCTGTTGGTGAAGAAAAGAAAACAGAAAAATAAGACAGACATCAATGAATCTAACAAGTGGAGACCACACCACAAAAAATTGATCTTAAAAATGATTTTATTTTTAACAATGTGCGTTGAATTAAAAAAAAATGGGAATTCCAGTCAATAAGAAGAATTTAGAATTCATTTTTTTTTTACCAAAAAGTTAAACAAAGCCATGGCACATGACACATTTATTTTTAATTTCCTTAATAAATTCCCTAGCAATTTTATTGGAATTACAGTATTAAAAATAAAAACTTTTAGGTTTATCACTGCAGCCGCGAATGTTTGAGAAATTAGAATTTTAAAAAAAAATTTATTTTTTATTATCTCATAATAAAATCCTATAGATGCGCGGTAAAAAGTTTTGCAGTATTTTTCCTAAGTGCTAAACACGAATAAAATGTTGATCAGTAAAAAAAAGTTTTACACATAGCGATTTTCCAATCGTAGCTTAGATGTGGCACAAGACAAGACCGAAAGTATGGGGCACCCAATGAGGATCGAACTCACTACTCATTCGTAATTGTGCTAGCGAGACAATCTTGCTAACCATTACACCGCCTAGGGGTGCCCTAAAAATTTTTTTTACACATATCAGTTGCTCAAATGGGGTGTAATTGTCGACGCAAACTGGTTCGTAAATCAATTTTAAAAAAAAATGATTTTAAAAAATTCCTTAATTCACCCAACACACACACACGCACGCACGCACGCACGCACGCACGCACACACACTATTTGTATGTCTCGCAATGTTTCTAGCTAGCTAGCTAGACAATTTTATTTGGCAGTTTTCCTTATTTTTTCCACTTGTCACAAAAATTGTTATATAGATTGTGTAAATTCATTATTTATGATTCATGTTGTAGTGTAGTGGTTTTTTTTAAACATGACCCAGTGAATAAAAGCGTTAGTTGATGAGTGATTGCCTAAAGAGTTGTGAGTTCAATACCTAGCCAGAGGGAACAAAACCCGAGGAGAGCTAAGCTATCAAGGGGAATAAACTGAAACTGAGATATCCAAAGGCATCAGTGCCATGCGTGATACACGCTTAGGCGATCATGTATCTTTCGATACATGACTGACGAGGCAGATTTTTTCCCTCAGTAGGTTGCCATTTCTTTCTGCAGTAGACCAGTTGCCATCCAAGGCTATAGAACCCAGTCTGTACTGCTATTTACTCATAGCTGGAGGGGGAGAAGAGGATTCATACCTTTCCCAAGGGTATTAGCATGTAAGTGAATGTCATGGATTTGACTGGAATTTGAACTCAGCTGTCTGATTATTCAATCCGAGCCGCTATCCATTACTTCACCGATGTAGAATTAGAACAATCCGCCCCATAAAATAAAGTGTTTGGTTTGAAATTACAATTAATATCACCTGAAGAAGATTGGAGCATACAATGGCTGAAATGTCGTAAATATGGCAATAAAGATAAGGACAACAGTCCAAACAATGTAAATAGTTAATATTATGGTTTTCGGCTTTAAAAAGATATTCACCAATAATCTGTTCAGTATCCCTTCAGGACTTCAGAATCTTCACAATTTCCTGTCCTTTGTAGCTCTTAATAAATTTTGTCTTTTTGTTATCCCCACCAAATTTGTTCTGTCATCCATTCACTCAAGCACTCCATGTTATATGTTGTTATTCCTCTGTCTCTCTTGCTTTTCAATCTGTCCTGTGAGCATCAAATTTTCCCAGCCTTCTTTCCTCATTATATGTCCCAAACATTTTAACTATCTCTTCGTGTTACGTATGTGTCCTTTTTGTTTTCATTGTCTCTAGAACTTTAAGCTCACATATTCAATCCATAGTATTTTCAGCAACCTTCTGTACAACCACATTTTTATTGCTTCAAGTCTCTTTATCTGTGAAGAGATTACCCAGCATTCACTACCATATAGGAGGACTGATATTACATAACATTTCAGTACTCTTTTCTTTCTATTGAACTTTTACTATTTCTTAATATATTTTGTCTAGCTTTTGGAAGGCATCTTTCACTATCCCAATGAGCCTTTGGATTTTAGTGTTGCACTTTTCATCCTCTCTTAAAACATTTCCCAGATATTTAAATTGTTGTATTTGAATGTTTTTGGTATTTTCAATTTGTTATTTGCATGTTGAACTGTTCCTTTTGCTAACAACTATGTATTCTGTCTTCTTGCAATTGTTATTTAGTCCTTTCTTGCTTTCCTTCGCTATCTTCTGTAGGAGTTTTTGCAGTTTCCTTTCTGTATCTGCTATCAAAACTGTATCATCTGCATATCTTATGTTGTTGCAGCCACCAATAACAAATCCCTGTAGAACTTCTGATTCTCTCAGAATCACCTCAACTTTATAGATTGAACAAGTCTGGTGAGAAGACTCATCCTTGTCTTACACCTCTTTCTATTTTTGTATATTTAACATTTTTAAAGTTTCCTTTTATTGTCACTATTCTGAGGCGATACTTGATGACTTCAGTTTCTTCTCACCTTCCTCTTTTATTTTATGTCTTGTTATTATTTCTTTAACCTATGAATGTTACATGAGATCTGGTATTATAAAAATTAAAATAAAAAACCTGTATTATGTATAGATTTCTTGAAAAACATATCTGGTGTTATGTATAGGTATCTTAAAAAAATCTGGTATTATAAGTTCTTCTAAAGAAAAAAATATCCAGTATTGTGTATAGATTTCTATATAAAAAAAAAAAGACAAAAAGATTTGGTATAAAATATAAGTTTATGAAAAAAAGAAAAATGAGCAGGTGTTATGAACCAGTTTATAAAAAAAGAAAGTCCAGTATTAACAGTTTTTGGGTTTTTTTTTTAAATATCCAATATGGAATATAACTTTTTTAGAAAAAAAAATCTGGTATTAACTATAAACTTGTTTTTTTTGTTTTTTTTTTTAGTCTGGTATTGAGTATAGGTTTCTAAAAAAAAATCTGGTATTATAAGTTTCTTCATATAATCCATTAAAATCCACTGACTCGTTTTTAGGACAGTAGGCTTTAATAGGTTATAGTTTCCTAAAGAAAATATTGTCAGATAATGTTGAGCTTGGATTAGTATGATGGAAAACTTCAAGCGGAACCACTCAGTGAGAATTGCTAGATATGGCTTGCAAACTAACCTATTGCTTACTACTGTGAAAATAGGTACCTTATTATTTAAGTAATTAGACTGTGAAATGAGCTTGTTAGCTGTTGTGATATGATGAATATATAAGTTGTGTATATTCTGAATTTAGTGGTTTTCATGGGTTCATTCAGTCATATATAATAATTGTTTATTTAATAAATAACTCTGTTGATTTTAGTAAATGTTGGTGCATTTAAAATATTAAATAAAAAGTTGATTGTCCTCGTTCCACTCCCCATGACTAGGGATAACTTGTTTTGTTCTTTTTAGTATTGCTTGCCCAGTTTTCCACTGGGTTAATGTCTGTACTGCCTGGTCCAGGGATTGAATTAAGTTTAAGTTCTAGATTCAGGATTGTCACATGGGACAATAGTCAAAAGGATTAAAGCATTTGTTCATGAATTTGGAGACAGTAATTGTGAGTTCAATTCCTTGACTGAGTAGTACTGGATCAAATTTAGTGGAAAGTGGAGAAGCAATAACTGATCATTATTTGCACCAGTGTTTTTTAATTGTTATGTCCCTGGAAGCCTATGGTTGTTAGGAGTTCCACAAGAAACAGTGATAAATAGGCTAATGCATTTTTGAGTTATTTTTGTTTAATTTTATATTCATCATTTTCGTATATATGTACAGTATATTGTTGGGAAATCTTTGGTTATTATAATAAATGCCCAACTGCTTATATTATTTAAAATTATAATAATCATAGGGAATGTATTTAGAGATGTCTATGTAGCATCAGTGTTAAACCACCTTCGCTAGTAAGGAGACAGGACCTGTGATGGATTCGTGTATCACTGAGGTATATATTAATAACACTATAAAATAATTTTTATGCAGGGGTTCCTGAGACTTGAATCCATTTCAAGGGTTCCGGAAGTGGGGGGAATGTTGAGAAACACTGATTTACATGCGGACTAGCGTCTTCAACTTTGTTCTTGTTGTCACAACGTTTGATCATTGTACCCTCTGGTTTTTATGCAGGGGTTCCTGAGATATGAAATCTATTTCAAGGTTTCCAGAAGGGGAGAAAAATGTTGAGAAACACTGATTTACATACGGACTAGTGTCTTTATCTTGGTTCTTGTTTCACAATGTTTGATCAGGAGTTGCAAGAACAAAACTTGACATTGAACTGTCTTAGGGATTCTGGCTCTGGATTTGAATTCAGAGTTATCCCACTCCTAGTTTGGCTGCCAACCATGGCTACAGAGCTCTGATTGCCCTGCTATTTACCCATAGTTGGAGATTTTGAATTCAGTTTTTTTCCTACTCCTAGACCAGTTGCCATCCAAAGTTATAGAACCCAGTGTGTCCTGCTGTTTACCCATAGCTGTGGGGAGGAGAGATGGATTCATACCTTTATTATTGTGTTAGCATAGGTGTGTAATATAAGTGCTTATTCACAAAAAATCATGAGCATGATCTGAAAATTGCATTACAACGCATCATAGGAATGAAACTCTCTTGTAAGTCGAGGACCTGCTGCACAAAATCTTTCTGAGAAATCTTAGGGAATTATTCTATATAAATATTTTCTTAAAGAAAAAATTGATAGCATATTATCATTTTTTTATTTCTGGGTGAAGGGATTTTGAGGGATGGCAAGACACTTTTTTATGTACCATGTTTCCTCAGGACGTAGGCGTTCATGACTCTTCACAATTTCCTGTCCTTTGCAGCTTTTAATAAATTTTGTCATTTTGTTATTTTTCCTAAACCCTCTTCCACCATCCATTTACTCAAGCTCAACAAGTATATTATGCGTTGTTTTCCTCTGTCCTTCACCCTCAATCTGTCTTGTGTGTATCAGATTTTCCAAGCCCTCTTTCTCCAATATGTGCCACAGAAATTTCAAATGTCTCTTCCTGACGTTAATATAAGTTTCCTCTTTGTTTCAATTTCCTCTAAAACCTTGTCATTTCTCAAATGTTCAGTCCATGGTATCCTCAGCATCTTTCTGTAGAACCACATTTCTGTTGCTTCAAGCCACTTCTTCACCTTTGAGGACATTGTCAAGCATTCAATTCCATATAGGAGGACAGATATCACATAACAGTTCAGTACTCTTTACTTAGTTTTTAACTAAGTTTTTCTGTCTCTTAATATTCTGCTTAGCTTTTAGGAGGAATCTTTGGTTATCCAGAGCACCTTTGGATTTCACTTTTTGACTAGTAATGGAGTTTAATTGTAATATCAGTAACTTCCAGAGGGAAGTGAAAAGACCATGAAGGGCACTTCTACATGTGTCTTGTACCCTCAGGACATAGACAATCATGGCACTCCACAATTTCCTGTCCTTTGCAGCTCTTAATAAATTTTGTCTTTTCGTTATTTCTCCTAAACCCTGCTCTGCCATCCATTTACACAAGCTCATCAAGTATATTATCCGCTCTTTTCCTATGTCCCTCTCACCCTCAGTCTGTCTTGTGAGTATCAGATTTTCCAAACCCTTTTTCCTCATTATGTGCCCCAGAAATTTCAACTATTTCTTCCTGATGTTAAGTATAAGCTTCCTTTTTGTTTCTATTTTCTCTAAACCTTGTTGTTTGCTCACATATTTGGTCCATATTCCATGGTATCCTTAGCATCTTTCTGTAGAACCACATTTCTGTTACTTCAAGTTTCTTCTTCATCTTTGAGGAGATTGTCCAGTATTCACCAATATCTCATACATAATGGACTATTCCATGTTTTAATTGCATGGAAAGAGGGAAAAGGCATTACTTGGTTTTAGTAAGAAAATGAATGAAAGAAAGGAAGGAAGGAAGATAGAAGTGGAGAGAGAGAGAATCAGATTGAGGAGATAAGAACAGATAGTACACTTTGATCTCAGCCAAAAGACTGAGAAGTCATGATGACCACAATAAAAGTGTCATTTTTCAGAAGCACAGTATCAAAAGATGGAAACTGTGTAAGGCAATTATCAAAATTCCAATTACAATAAATTAAATAACATCAGCTACTGAATTATTTTTTAGATAAATCATTAAACTGACTTTGTGTCATATCCTGTCAGCATAAGGTGTCAAGAAAATGCAAACACTTTTCAGCCTTTGTTCTTACCAGCTTAATCTAATTCTCTCTCTCCACTTCTATCTTTCCTTCTTTCTTTCATCTTCTAGGGCTTTTCACTAAGATCAAAGTGTAGTATCTGTTCTTACCAGCTTAATCTGATTCTCTCTCTCCACTTCTATCTTTTCTTCTTTCTTTCATCTTCTAGGCCTTTTCACTAAGATCAAAGTGTAGTATCTGTTCTCATCAGCTTGATCTGATTATCTCTCCACTTCTTTCTTTCTTTTTTTCTTTCATTTTCTCACTGAAGCCAGTCTTTTTTCTCCTCTTTCCACACAATCAAAATAGAATAGTCCATTATTCATGTGGTTTTGGCAGGGTGTAACAGTCATGTGAACTAAAAAAAAAAAGGGAAGAACAAGCGGAGTTATAATAGGACAGTTATTGGCATGGAAAATGGAACTGATGTGCAAAAGTTCAAATTCCAGCCTAGTCTGTTCCATTAATTTTTACACTATTACCTTGAGAAAAGGCATGAATCCATTATTTTCTCCACTCTCAGTTTTTAGTTAAATTGTAATGTTGTTGGAGGTTTCTAGCCTTAGTTGGCTGCCAGTCTAGGAGAAGAATCACTCTGAATCTATAACGATAGAGAAGGCAATAGGAAACCACTCCACTATATTTTCCAAAGGAGTCTGTTGAGAGCCATGATCAATTATGTTCTGAAGAGACATGGCATTAACAAAACTTAATGATAAGATATACAGAAACAGTGACAGTTCAACAGAGATATCAATTTGTTCAAATTCCTAGAAATTTGAGTAGCACCTTCTATAGTTACTTCTTTTATATGCCATGTCCTTTGGGATCTGGGCGATCATGGTTCTCTCCAATTACCTATCCTTTGTCGTTCTAAGCAGCATTTGTTCCTTTATAATCCCACCTAGTCTATGTTCTGCCATCCATTTACACCAATTTGTTAGGTTACTCACTATTTAGCTCTATCTCTCTTGTTTTCAATATCTCTTGTGAAGGTCAAATTCTCCAAGCTTTCTTTCCTTATCTGTTTACATTTCTGAGATATTGTGATTAAATATTTCTCTCTCTCTCTCTCTCTCTCTCTCTCTCTCTCTCTATATATATATATATATATATATATATATATATATATATATATATATATATATATGTATTTCTGAGGTATCATAATTATTTACATTGTTTGGACTATTGTCCTCATCTTTATTTCCATATACACAATGTTTCAGTGGTTGTACACTCCAGACTTCTTCAGGTTATTGGAATTTCGAAACTGAACCCATTATTTTGTCCACCGGGGTAGATTGTTCTAGTTCCACGTGCCATGGCCCAGTGCATAAAAACATTGGTTGGATCCAGTGACTTGACCCGAAGAGTTGTGAGTTCAATACCTGGATACTGCAGTGGTGAACAGAAACTTGGAGAGTTGAGTTAAAGGGAGATAACTGAGACACCTGGAAGAGGCATGGCACATGGAACTGGAACAATCTATCCGGGTGAACAGAATAAAGGGTTTGGTTCAAAATTCCAATCACTTGAAGAAGGTTGGAGCATACAATGGCTGAAATGTCGTGAATATGGCAATAAAGATGAGAACAATGTAAATAATTCTATTTCCTTATTATGTGTTTCACAAATTTCATTTGACTCGTTATGATTGTAAGTATAAATGTTCTTTTCATTCTCGTTTTTGTTAAAACTTCCTTGTTGTTCACATGTTCTGTCTATAATATTCTCAGCATCCTTCTCTAAAACAAACAACTCTGTTGCCTAAAGTTTCCATCTCATTCATGCTATATTCTTTAATTTAAAACTTGCAAATAGCAAATCATTTGTTAGAATTGAATATCCTTGCTTATGGATGGTTAACTGTTCCATCTTTTTCCAAATGTTTACACTTTATTAACTTGATTTATAAATTTATAAACTACGTTTTGAAATTCTGCAATAATTATATTTTTCTACTTACAGACTGGAACCGTGATCCCAATGCCTGTTCCTTCCAGTTACAATGACATCACTCAGGACAAAGAGCTGCGAGATTTTGTTGGTTGGGTGTGGTATGATCGAGAGTTTTATGTCGATTCTAACTGGAAGAATGACAAAATTGTTCACCTCCGTATAGAAAGTGCACATTATAATGCTATTGTTGTGAGTTGGTTTCCATCATTTATTTTGTCTTTTTTGTACCTTTTACATATATGAGCACCATATAAATAACTGAAACTGTGCTACCAATTTCAGCATTGATTCTTTCTCCATCCTTAGTCATGTTCATTTTTTATTACATTTGAAGGCATTGGAAATGATTTAGGTCAGGTCAAGACAGTCCTCCCTCTGTAAACAGAGGGAATGTCTGTTAGGGCTTGACATTATTTCCATCTGATTGTTCTGCCTTTATTTCATCACAGGCTTCTTATGGTTTACATTTCATATTTTATATTGTAATATTTAGTCTTCTCTCGATTTTAGCTCTGTTGAATGAGGGTGAAGATTTTTTTTTTTTTAAAATCATTATTTTCGTTTATCTTGTATGCTGCATAAACACAAATAAATATTTTCAATAAGTGAGACTAAAAAATGTTTTTATGCATTAAAACTATTATAAAAACAAATTGTTTTAATTTAATAGCCTCACCACAAGGACAATTTGTAACACAAGGCCAATTTTTTATGTTAAGAAATCAAATGTGACATCAGAAATTCCATACATTGATTTTTTTTTTTTTTTATAAATTAAAAAAAATAATAAAAATTGTCTTAAAAGAGAGCCCGACAGAATAAAAAGGTGAATTCTTTCTGTGTTTATATTACATAATTTTAATTATAATTATTAAATTAACAAGTATAATATTAAATGGGTGAATTAACAGTGTTTAAAAAGAAATTAAAAATAAAAATTTTATTTTGAACTGAAATCTACAGAACTTTATGAGAATTTCAAGAACTGAGTTGAAACTTGCACATTTCATTTTTTTTTTTTTTTTTTTTTTTTTTACATAAGTAAAATAAATTTACATCATACTTAACTTAGGTATTATGATCTATAGCTTTTAGTTTTACTGATAGTTTAAAATCAATAAATATATCTTTTTATCATTAGTTATTGGAAACAGAAATTAGGTAAAACATACCCGTCAAAGTTCTGATATTTTCGATTCCCGATTCTGGTTCCAATTAATCATCCCATCACTAGTATTCAGCACACTCAAACCTGCCACATAAATATTGGCTCTCAAAGTTTCACCACTTGTGGTCAAAGTTTAATTGTTTGCATGACTTCTTGTGTTATTTGTAATGATATTATATTATGTATATATATTTATGTATATATTATATTATGTAATATATATATTTATGTAAGTAAAACCCTGTTTTGTTTTTTTTTCAGTGGATAAACTCACACTTTGCTTTTAATCACAGTGGGGGTCATCTACCCTTTGAAGGGGAAGTCAGTCATTTGCTGAACTATTTTACCATCAACAGGATAACAATTGCCGTCAATAATACTCTCACACCCACGACTTTACCTCCAGGGTCAATTAAATATGAAAGAAACTCCAAGAGGTTTGTACATTTTTTTTAATCATTTTTGTACTTGTTCTGTAACACAAATGATTGCATCACCATTATTTATATTGCATGTGTATGATTTTAGAAGTATCCAGTTCTGTTCTTAAATTTGATATTTTATCTTTTGTTAAGTAAATTATTTAAATCTCCAAGAATTCCTCAGCCATTACTAAATCCTATATATATATATATATATATATATATATATATATATATATATATATATATTTAACTAAATCCTATATATTTGTATATATTTTTCAACCAATAAAATCCCGTCAGAAGGTTTGTTGGATAAATAATCATTATTTGGGCAAATACTGCCAAAATATTTGCAAACAGAGTGGTCGACCAGCTATGTGTTATTTTTAAACCATTTAGAGAAAAAAAAAGAGTAATACCCTTCACCACTCCCAAAAATTTGAGAAAAAGATTTTTGCAAGCCAGTATGAAATTATTTTCTAATCAGTGAAAACTTTGTTATCAAAAAATTCACAATTCCATGTGAAATCAGATTTTGAATCCCCTTATGGATATAAAAATAGAAATATGCTACTTCTTAGGGCTCAAAACAATTTCAGAGGCCAGTTTAATCTACACATGCATATATACACACACACACACCCACAAAATGGAAGTGAGACAGTCAGCAGCAGCTAAGGCCTTGTCCATGCACACAATAGAAGGGATTAACTAGCAACCACCTACTATGCTTTTGTCTATGAACTCACAAACACATTAGGCTGACCATCGTAAAATAAGTCTGTTCACACATTTCAGATTGCACTAAGAACACTTAATTACTTTATAAAACAAACTTCACTGCAATGAAAATTGAACGTTTTATTGTTGTTGTATATTTCTGGAAAAAATATATTAATGTTATTTCAACTAACGTTCTGCTTCTACTTTTCCTTCTGAAGATAACCCTTTTTATGTTTCATTTAAATGATGTATTGTTGCTGTTGTTAACTGTTTGGAATCCTGACACTCAGATAGCAACAAAAACCTGGGTAGACAGATCTCAACACATATTTGATATAATTCTTGTATAAAATTGGGTATTTTATTAAATTTGGAAAGATATAAAATTTAAACCAAAACCAAAGGATATGTACTTCTTGGACCAAATTTGTCTTTGTCTGAAATTATTTAATTCATCATAACCACACATATTCATTAAAAACATATAAATTAAGATTTTCATTATGCAACCATTACAATAAAAGTTAATTAATCTTCTAAATTTAAATGCCAGATCAAGCCTTTTGAATATGATGGGTCACGAGAGCAATTGAATTTTTTTTTCTTTTGTTTAATTTTGTTTATTGTATCATTTGGATCATTATTTGCAATTTTTCCTCTAAAAGAATTAAATTTTGTGACTATATTTAAAATAGAAACAAATTCACAAATATCTAAGAATAACCATCCCGAAAAATTCTGTTGTATTAAAAACAATGATACAACATTTTCTGTTTTAATTTTAATGTGTCAGCTGTCAACAATGACTTTCTCAGATCAATGGCTAACAATAGCTTTGAGCAATTGAAGCCTGTTTATCTTAGCAAATACCATTCTTCTTCAAACCTTGTGGACTGGCTCTGCAGAATCATAAAGGACTGTACCAAATAAGAGAAACCATATCACTTGAGGACTTCCAACAGCTAAAATAGAGATCATATGTCACCCAAAGAGAAAATAATGACATAATCAAGATGTTGACATTCCACACTACTTCAAGCAAAAGGTTAGAAAGGAAACCCCTCTCAATATTGGACTTATTTTCCTGAAAAATCATTTTAAGAGAAAAATTGATGCTCTGAGTCAATGATTACTGAATATTTATTTATAAGGAAATGGCTAATATTATCATTATTATTCATGTAATTGCAGAACAGCCAATGCGACACTCATCTTTTAAAATGATTTCAGAAATCTTCTGATTTCTGAAATCATTTTAAAGATGAGAGTTGGATTTTTTACTACATTATTTATTAGCTAATTATGTTTGTTAAAACTCCCCTACCTGTACCTGTAACAGCATTCACCGGAGGTGGGTTGAGCCGGCTCCAATATTGGAATTTCATGGGAATTTAGAATTCACAAGCGGTCCCCAACCCGCATGTATAGCACATGAGATTTGATTATAGTGGTGAAGGTTTCGTGCAGGACCATCCACACTTTTTGAAGGGCTGATTACAGAGACCTGGTGCACTACATGCCACAAGGTCCCCAAACGACCCTCCACAGGTTTTGAATTCAGAGTTTTCCTTCTCCTAGACCAGTTGCCATCCAAGGCTATAGAACCCAGTCTGTCCTGCTATTTACCCATAGCTGGAGGGAGAAGAAGAGGATTCACACCTTTCCCAAGGGTATTAGCATGTAAGTGAATGTAATGGATTCGACTGGAATATTTGTTAAAAGAAATATATTTATTTTTTAAAAAATATATTTCAATTGTTTCTGTTGAAGCTTAAATAAGCATGGAATAATACAACACAAAATGTACGTTAACAAAATGTATTGAAACAAAGAATAGGTACACAATATTTACAGTTAGTTTGGTATATTCTTGGGAAGACTGTTCCTGCATAATGGGTTGACTAAATCGCAGTCGGGCAGAGTCTCTGGATTCAATTTCTTAATCTCTACTATCTTCCCCGTCTTCCGGTACCAACCCATATTTATATGGTCGGTAGTCCGCTTATGTAAATTAGGTGTATCATACACAACAGTTTCCTTTATTTCAAGATGTCCATTTCATGAATGAAAAATTTTCCTTTATCTCAAAATGCCTATTTCATGAGTGAAAAATTTGTAAAATTTAGTTACCCCACTCCTGAAAGGATAAATGAATAGTAAATTTTGCCAATAGTTAATTTTACAAGAAATGTACAAGATCCCTGAACCATATTTCTTTTACCTAATGAGGTTAGTGGTGGGTGCTTGTGACAAATTCCATTTAACAAAATGCTGTCACAAATTAAAGAGTTTCAGAAGGCCTTCTGTAGCAGACATAGTGAACCGGAACTGGAGTCAAATGGCAGAAATGGTGAAAAGGGCTTCCTTTATTCTTGACAAAAGAGTGTTTGTCTTCGTCTGGCATGTAGGACTTCGATTTGAGAGAAAACAAGTATGTCGTTCTGTTAAAAGAAACTCTTCTTTGTTGTCCCACAAGAAACTGGTTCATTAGCAACTGTATTAGTGTGGTTGGATGGAATCGAGGAGGGACATCCGGGTGTGTTAGTGCTCCATTCTGAGGTGCCTGTATGTCTAGTATGCCTAATATCTGGGCAAAGGATTTGTGATTTCCCATTATAAGTAGACCATCGCAGAGATGAGAGAGGTCTCTATTGGGGTACATTATACTGTACATACAGTTGTGACAGGAGGAATGAACGACAAAGCGGTTACAGGGAAGAAAACAATGATAAATACCAAGAAACCAGTGTAGAGGGAAGAAACAACCAATCTGAAATTACGTCCCAAAACATAGTTTCTGTTGACCACATCTTCCTTCTTCTTTTAAGTGTTATGTCCCCTTAGGACGTAGGTGATCATGGCTCTCCACAAATTCCTGTTCTAATAAATTCCATGATCCATTTACTCACGATAACTAAGTATGTTATGTACTGTTTTCTCTGAAACTCTTTTCTTCAATCTGTTCTGTGAGTATCAGATTTTCCATTCACTCTTTCCTCATTATGTACCCTAGAGGTTTCAACTGTCTCTTCCTGATGTTCTTTCCTTTTTGCTTGCATTTTCTCTACAACTTCATTGCTCATATATTTGGTCCATGGAATCCTCAGAATCCTTCTGTAGTACCACATTTCTTTTGTTGATAACCAAAGCCTGCCTTAGATCTCTCTAAAATGGCTCATATTTAACAATCTAGCAAAGCAATATGTTTCAGCATATTTCATATGGTTCTTGTCTAACTACCTTTCCTGTTCATCTCTACCCTTTGCTTATGACCCCTGTGGCACTCTCAACTCAGCCTAACAATTTTGGAAGCTTAATTTTTTTTTATTTGGATATTCGTTTTCTAATCATGGAATATACAAGTTAGAATATCATAGTGTTGTCTTTAAATGAAATTTGATAAGCAAGACGATTAACCATGGCATAATTATACTGAAGCAATAAACCAAAGAAAGGTGTATAAACTGGAATTTGGCCTAAAATTGTAAGCATTCCTAAACCTTTTCTAGTTTACAGCAAGAATATACTGGACATTATCACCAAGCATCAAGTTAGAATCTTTATCTTCTTCTTTATGAGTCATGTCCCTTCAGGATGTAGATGATTATGGCTCTCCATAACTTCCTTTCCCTTGTAGCTCTTAATAAATTTCTATCATTTCTCCGAAGCTTTTTTCCACCATCCACTCATTCAAGCTCACTATGTTATGTGTTGTTTTCCTGTGTCCCTCTATCTGCCCCATGAGTATCATTTTCTACACCCTCCTTGCTCATTATATGCCCCCACCCAACCTCAATTGTCTCTTCTTGATGTTTAGTATTAGTTTCCTTTTTGTTTCCATTTTCTCCAAAACTTCATCGTTGCTCACATGTTCAGTAAGAAGTCTTATTGTCTACAAAAGTATGAGCTTATCTACTGTACACATTTAAACAATTCATACTATATATATATATATATATATATATATATATATATTCATGAATTATTCACACAAAAACAAATGCAAAGGTTAATCATTTAATTGGCGAGAAATCCATCGTCGCAAACAATTCAAATAATATACAAAAACCTCCGAATCCGTTATGAATGTTAAGAACAACATCTATTCCATACCTGAAGATGTCTGTAGGAACAGACAAAAGCTTGTAGTAAAAATAAGAACTAATGCGGCAGAAATTTATAGAAACAAGGATCTTTTCATTCATAACGGATTCGGAGGTTTTTGTATATTATTTGAATTGTTTGCGACGATGGATTTCTCGCCAATTAAATCATTAACCTTTGCATTTGTTTTTGTGTGAATAATTCATGAATTTGTAAATTGATTGCACGTTTATCGAAATATATATATATATATATATAACTAGCTCACTTTGGGCTAGAGGGATTTTCTCTTCCAGGTTATTATTTTTTTTGTTAAGTTCACACTAAGCAAGGCTGTAAAGCCACTAAGACAGAAGGTGTTACTGGATATGAAAGAATTAGAAAACAGAAACATTACTAAGGAGCAAGAACAGAAGAAGAGTAATCAGGAAGCAATTAACATTGCATTTAAATTTTTGAAGATTAAAGTTCACTGAAATGCATGTAGGTGGAAGATCATTCCACAAGCAAGAAAAGAAATTGTAATCCTAGAACTTATGGTTACATCTAGCCAAATCAGCTGTAAATTGATGAGACCTTGTTGCCAGTCAAGTACTGTGCTTCACTTCATAAAGCCTAGGTACCATAGCTAAGAGTTCATCCGAACAATTACTGTGAAAGTATTTATAGAAAAGACAAAGGGAGGCAACTTTATGGCAGTGGGAAAGGGAATGGAGCTGAGATGCCAAGTCAGGATCTATAATATTGCTGATTCTTCTTTGGATTTTATCAAGGATCTCTAGATATATAGCAGGAGCACACAACCTTATGTGGCAGCAATATTCTAAGCATGGGCGAATGATAGACTTATAGATATGCAAGATAGATTCTGGGGATTAAAAAAAAACTGTCTAGCATAACACAGCAATAATAACTTGATTATCTGACCTGATGGTATTTCTAATTGAGTCCCACCCACAAGATTATGTGTTGCTTTTGTAAAACCCTGTCACTATATTGTGCACATTTAGATGTGATGCAAATGATTAGTATACCTATATCAGACTGGGTGTCATGAGGGGTATTTTTTTTTTTTTTTTTAGTATATTTGTACCCTAGTATAGTTTGTTGGTTACTTCTTGTTCTTCTTCTTATTGTTCTTTTTCTTTTTCTTCTAGTAGTAGTATACACATTTCTTTCTGGGTCCCAACCAGAGACCTAAGGTCAGGAATGTCTTCGACATCTTCCACTGATCATTTTTTACAAGAAAACTCCCCTAAGATCACACACATTTTACATAGATCAAACTTTTTGTAATGTGTGAGTTTTATTTGTGAGTACAATTTTGTTGTATTTATTTAAGGCATTGGCTACCAGGAATCCCTTCAATGAGTCTATAAGACCTTTCCAACTACAACTGGAATTAATGATGTCCTCATATACCACATTTTTTAGATTCTTCTTCATCATCATAATTATTATTATTATTATTATTATTATTATTATTATCTCTATCTATAAAAGGCAGTGTGTGTGTGTGTGTGTGTGTAATGAATGCATGGCCACAATTTTTGACGGATTTGCATCAAAATTTACATGCACATGCTCCAAGGTAGCGGAAATGCCAAGACCGACCTTGCATTTCCCAACTCCCATCGATAGTGGAAATAATCAATTTTTTTCTTGTTTCTACGGCAGTTTTCATGTAGTTTGCAGCCATTTTGTACTGGCCAGAGTGAGAGCCTATAGCTGGCTGCCACGAATAGGCAAGATAATTCTATTGGCCAGTGTGAGAGCCAACAGCTGACTGACACGAATGTTAACTAGCATGCAAAAAAAATCGATAGCTGCATTTGTCACAAGTGGGAAAAAATTTAAATCTGCATGGCACTTTACTCCAATTGGCTCATTAAACTTGCTTAAACTCAATGTTGATTCTGATTCCATGAAACTGGGTGGGGTGTGAAAAAGTATTTGTTGTTAACATTCTTTTTTCATTCGGTTTTTTCAGTTACGAGTCCTTTTTTTAAAGCTGATCATTTTGTGTTCATTTTGTTTAATTCTTTTTTTGTAACAGATTTAATGTTTAGTATAGAGCTTAGAAAAATTTGCAGTGTGAGATAGGCAAGAATTTAGGCATGTAGCAACATCAGCACAGCAAAGGGCACTCCTTTAAAGGCAAGGAAGGGCAAAAATATTTTAAGTCAAGTGATAGCAATTGCTGCATGAGTTGTACGATTTTTGAATCAAGCACAGGCAATGCCTGGCCATGCTGCTAGTTATTATTAAAAAAAAGATTTTTTAAAATACACAGATAGTGATAAGTACAGGAAAAGAGAATGGCAGAGAAGGGAAGATATACTCTGTTGGAATGACGTTATTATTACACCAGGCTTTCATTACATACTTATCAGAGAGAATTCCTTTTATTGTTTTTATTTTTTTTAAATAGGACATGTTCCTTGTTCATTTGTCATGATTGGAGTATTTGATTCTTGCAAGTATATCCATTTCAATGAAGCAGATGTCAAACATATTCGAGTATTATCACCTCCTCTATCTTCTCTTTTATTTTCTCACTGAAACCAAACAGCATCTCTGATATGTCTTTTTCGTCTTTCCTTGTGATCAAAATGGAATAAATAATCCATTACTTATGAGGTACTGGCAGGGGCCAACATATGTGCTAACTAAGTAAAGATCCACCAGAATTCAAATACATTTGGTGATCAAAAATGGTTCAGAAGTGTGCAGTTTGAAAATTCTAGAAAGTTACCAAATACACTAAGCCCCTCAAGAAGGCCAGAGGGTAGAGTGGCTGAAACATTGTAATTATAACCAACTAACTGAAGATACCATTTCAAATAAATTAGAGTGTAATCAAGCTAATTTCTCACCTGCAAAATTCATGCATAAAGCATTGATGAGGTTGAACTGTGTACTTGGGTTGAATTTAATCCATTTCAGATATTTGTGTTTAAGTTAAACATTGAGTTCTTTAAGATGAATGTTTTGAGTGTTTTTTTTATTTTTTTGCTGATGTGAATCTTTCTTGCAGATATCCTCGTGGCTATTTTGTCCAGAATTTGCAGATGGATTTTTTCAACTATGCTGGAATCCACCGTCATGTTTGGTTGTATACAACTCCACAGATTTACATCCATGACATCATCTTAAAAACATCGACAACAGGATCTACAGGTTGTTTGTTTCTTTTACATTACTGTGTGTGTGTGTGCATGTAATATATATATATATATATATATATATATATATATATATATATATATATATATATATGTGTGAACATTGAAGTCAACACTCAGAAATGACAGGCTGTTTCATGCTAGATGCAATCGTCAGGCCACGTGTCTAGCATGAAACAGCTTGGGTGTTAACATCAATAGACACTTTTATATTTACACACGCTCTATCTCTGATATTGAGCACTTTATCCCATAAATATAACACACCTTAATACTATATTTCTTTATATATATATATATAAGTATAATTTGAAGCCAACACCCAGAGACAACAGTCTGTTTCATGCTAAATGCAATCATCTTGGCCTGACAATTGTGTTTAACATGAAACATACATATCCCTGATATTGGGCACTTTAACCCATAAATATAGCATAACTCAAAATTATATTTTTCTTATATATTGGCTTCAAATTATACTTATCTATATATATATATATATATATATATATATAAAGAAATATAGTATTAAGGTGTGTTATATTTATGGGATAAAGTGATCAATATCAGAGATAGAGCGTGTATAAATATAAAAGTGTCTATTGATGTCAACACCCAAGCTGTTTCATGCTAGACACGTGGCCTGACGATTGCATCTAGCATGAAACAGCCTGTCACCTCTGAGTGTTGACTTCAATATATACTTATATATATATATATATATATATATATATATATATATATATATATATATATATAGCTTCTGTCACTTTCCCACCATCATATAGCTTCCCTGTGCATTTTCTATAAATACTGTCATGGTAATTGTTTGGATTAACTTTCTACTGTGGTACTCAGATTTATGAATTTAAGGGCATTACTAGATTGGCAACAAAGTCTCCTCAATTAACAGTTGATTGCATAGAGGCAACCCAAAGATCTATGCTAACAGTTTCTACTCTCATACTTCTCACTTCTAAATGCTTTCCAGCCAATTTCAATCTTCTAAAATTTAAATGCAGTGTCAATTGTTACCTACTATCTTCTTTTATTGTTCTCACTACTTAATAATGTTTCTCTTTTTCTTATTCTTTCAAACTCCATAACCCCCTTGTGTTTAGTGACTTTGCTGACTTGCTTGGGGTGAAATGATTAATAAATAATGTGTGTGTGTGTGTGTGTGTATATATATATATATATATATATATATATATATATATATATATATATATATATATATATATATATAAATATATGCATGTATTTGGAAAATGTATAAATATATGCATGTATTTGGAAAATGGATAAATATATGCATGTATTTGGAAAATGGATAAATATATGCATGTGTTCAGAAACTATATGGATAAATATATGCATGTGTTCAGAAACTATATGGATAAATATATGCATGTCTGTATGTGTTCAGAAAATATATGAATAAATGTATGCATGTCTGTATGTGTTCAGAAAATATATGAATAAATGTATGCATGTCTGTATGTGTTCAGAAAATATATGAATAAATGTATGCATGTCTGTATGTGTTTGGAAAATATATAAATAAATATATTTATGTATGTATGGAAAATATATAAATAAATGTATGTATGTATGTATGTGTGTTTGGAAAATATATAAATAAATATATTTATGTATGTATGGAAAATATATAAATAAATGTATGTATGTATGTATGTGTGTTTGAAAAATATATAAATAAATATATGAATGTATGTGTGCTTGGAAAAAGTATATAAATATATGTATGTATGTATCAGCCATCTTTAATAAAAATTTTGTGTGTGTGTGTGTGTGTGTATCTAGTTAAACCTAGAGAGCCAGACAACTAATCTTATACTTATAAGATTACTACTACTACTACTAATATATATATATATATATATATATATATATATATATATATATATATATACACACACACACACACACCCACTCATAAGTTTCATTAAAAAACGACTGTTATATATATATATATATATATATATATACACGTGTGTGTGTGCAAAACCACACATATATACAAATCACAATAAATACAGATATAATATATAATGCAATTATGGACATACCACTTTTGTTTGCTTGTCGACTAAGAAGGTTGTTTATTTCTTAATGTCCCTTTAGTTCTGCTGGGGTGCCTTAATTAAAAGAGACAATCCCAATCACCACCACCCAAGTTGATTGATTGACTTGTTTTTTTACAGTTTATCAACCTCTTTCTGGTTATTTAAAGTCAAAATGTATTTTGGGATTATAACAATTTTTGGGGTGATTATAAGTGGATTTATGCCTTTCCCAAGATTATTTGCATGTAAGTGAAAATAAGAAACCTGACAGGAATTCAAAATTAGCTCCAATTTCTCATTCCAAGGCTTTATCTATTATACCACCCACACATTCAGGCATACAACATCTGCAGTTTCCTAACAGTCACACATCTAGTTACTGATCAGATTCAACGTTGCTTAACTTTGGTGATCATACAGGAACCAATGTATCAATATGATACGGCTGTAAGCCTCATCAATTTCACAGTGAGTAACAGTCTTATTTTGAAGCAACCGACAACAAAGAAAAAGGCAAGAAAGTTTTTTTTAAATATAAAAATATTTTTATAGTGTTTTTACAATTCTATTTTTCTCAGCATGTAAGAGTGTACATTATTCTTGTGTTAAAGTTCCTTGTTTTTTGTTAAGATGAAAGGAACTATTATTTCTTTGTGTGTATGTCTGAGCAAAAAGAAGCAAGAGTTAGGAAGAGTGTAAGTGCCATGTAGCTTGGTGAGGAAGACAGGTGAATGAGAATAGGAATTTCTTTGAAACCACACCAGCCGTCGTGAACTGCTACCATCTATTGCCATCCTTACTTTGTCCATATAGAGACTTTACTTAAATACTCTTCAAAGGAATCATGAAGCATGTTTTTTATTGTCAGTGGGAACACATACCATTGCTTGAAAAATGTTAAATGTTTATTTTCAAAAGATTAATTTATTAACTGGAAGAATGTGCAAATCTTCTGACTTGGAAACAATTTTTTTCGTCATTTGATGATTGACTTTCTTGGTGTTTATTTTCGTCTTCGCTCCAAAGACTAATGAACCTTTTTTTTTTTTTTCTTTTTTTGTTCTATATGGGAAAGTCACCAAACTCATGCTCTATACTTAATTCATGAAATTATTATTTCAGGGTTGGTAACTTACCTTGTTGTACCAAGTGAAGCTGGAAATACAATTTATTGTGATATTCAAGTTCTGGATAAAGATGGGAAGACTGTTGTTCGTGCGACAGGCATATCAGGCACAATAATGATTCCAAATGCCAACCTTTGGTGGCCATACACAATGAACAAGACTTCCCCAGCATATTTATACACATTTAGGGTAAGTTATTTTGTTGACAATGACGCAAAAGCTTTTTAATTAATTTCATATTAAATAGATTTTGGGAAATAATAAAAAAAAAAATGAAAATTATTAACAGAAACTTTGAATATTTTTCTGAAAAATAATGGCTTGTAAATAAGATTTTTTTTAAAATCAATTAAAAAATAACAAAATTTTAAACTAAATATGAGTTCCAAGAATAACAGGTAGTTTATTCCTCAAAAGTGGATGAAGTCCCAACAATTTTTCTATTAAATAAGACATTTTCATGTGATATGGTGGGGTTAGGGTTTAGAAGCAGTAATAAGTAAAGATAAGATGAAGCTATAAGAAGATAAAAATGAAGCAAAGAAGTAAAGATAAGATGGAACTGTAATAAGAAGTAAGGATGAGAGGAGGCCGTCATAAGAAGTAAAGATAAGATGGAACTGTAATAAGAAGTAAGGATGAGAGGAGGCCGTCATAAGAAGTAAAGATAAGATGGAACTGTAATAAGAAGTAAGGATGAGAGGAGGCCGTCATAAGAAGTAAAGATAAAATGGAACTGTAATAAGAAGTAAGGATGAGAGGAGGCCGTCATAAGAAGTAAAGATAAGATGGAACTGTAATAAGAAGTAAGGATGAGAGGAGGCCGTCATAAGAAGTAAAGATAAGATGGAACTGTAATAAGAAGTAAGGATGAGAGGAGGCCGTCATAAGAAGTAAAGATAAGATGGAGCTGTAATAAGAAGTAAGGATGAGAGGAGGCCGTCATAAGAAGTAAAGATGAGAGGAGGCCGTCATAAGAAGTAAAGATAAGATGGAGCTGTAATAAGAAGTAAGGATGAGAGGAGGCCGTCATAAGAAGTAAAAGATAAGATGGAACTGTAATAAAGAAGGGATGAGAGGAGGCCGTCATAAGAAGTAAAGATAATGGAGATGGAACTGTAAGGATGAGAGGAGGTCAATCATAAGAAAGATAAGATGGAACTGTAATAAGGAGGATGAGAGGAGGCCGTCATAAGAAGTAAAGATAAGATGGAACTGTAATAAGAAGTAAGGATGAGAGGAGGTCATAAGAAGTAAAGATAAGATGGAACTGTAATAAGAAGTAAGGATGAGAGGAGGCCGTCATAAGAAGTAAAGATAAGATGGAACTGTAATAAGAAGTAAGGATGAGAGGAGGCCGTCATAAGAAGTAAAGATAAGATGGAACTGTAATAAGAAGTAAGGATGAGAGGAGGCCGTCATAAGAAGTAAAGATAAGATGGAACTGTAATAAGAAGTAAGGATGAGAGGGCCGTCATAAGAAGTAAAGATAAGATGGAACTGTAATAAGAGGTAAGGATGAGAGGAGGCCGTCATAAGAAGTAAAGATAAGATGGAACTGTAATAAGAGGTAAGGATGAGAGGAGGCCGTCAAGAAGTAAAGATAAGATGGAACTGTAATAAGAGGTAAGGACGAGAGGAGGCCGTCATAAGAAGTAAAGATAAGATGGAACTGTAATAAGAGGTAAGGACGAGAGGAGGCCGTCATAAGAAGTAAAGATAAGATGGAGCTGTAATAAGAGGTAAGGACGAGAGGAGGCCGTCATAAGAAGTAAAGATAAGATGGAACTGTAATAAGAGGTAAGGACGAGAGGAGGCCGTCATAAGAAGTAAAGATAAGATGGAACTGTAATAAGAGGTAAGGACGAGAGGAGGCCGTCATAAGAAGTAAAGATAAGATGGAACTGTAATAAGAGGTAAGGACGAGAGGAGGCCGTCATAAGAAGTAAAGATAAGATCGAGCTGTAATAAGAGGTAAGGACGAGAGGAGGCCGTAATAAGAGTTAAGGACGAGAGGAAGCTGTAATAAGAAGTAAAAATGCAGCTAAAATGAGGAATAAAAAGAAGCTGTAATAAGAAGATAATAGCTGTATTAAGAAATAGATAAGATTGGGCTAAAATGTTTTTTTTTTTTTTTTTTTTAGTTTTTACTGCATATTGACACAACATTTAGTTGATGGAAAGATGAATGGGAGGCTTGTTTTTAAGATCCACAATAATTTTATTTAATAATAATGATGATAAAAATGGATATGTTAATATAACGAGAAAAAATAACAGGTAACAAAAAAAATTTATATCACCATAATGTGGTAATATTGAAATACAAAACGCACAAAATAGCTACACTGCCTTGTTTTTAATTGTACTTTGTATTTCCATATTACTACTTTACCGTAACATAATATTACTACAGTAATGTAAGGGATACATGGTGGAGTAATGAATAGCAGCTCAGATTGAGGAATAGGAGAGCTGAGTTCGAATTCCATTCAAATCCATTACATTCACTTACATGCTAATACCCTTGGGAAAGGTATGAATCCTCTTCTTCTCCCCCCAACTATGGGTAAATAGCAGGACAGACCGAGTTCTATAGCCCTGAATGGCAACTGGTCTACTGCAGAAAGAAATGGCAGGGAGGGGGGGGGGTTAATGACTCCTTATTCATGTATCAAGAGATCGCCTAAGCGTGTATCACGTATGGCAGATAACTGAATGACAGGAAGTTGTGGAGAACCATGATCACCCACGTCCTGAAGGGACACAGCACATAGATGAAGAATCAAAAGAACGAGCTTGTGTAAATGGTTGACAGAAAAGGAGTTAGGAGAGATAGCAAAAAGACAATACATTATTAAGAGCTAGAAAGGATAGGGAGTTGTGGAGAGCCATGATCACCAATGTCCTCAAAGGTGGCACATAGAGGAAGAAGAAGAACAAACTTCTGTAAATGGTTGACAGAAAAGGAGTTAGGAGAGATAGCAAAAAGACAATACATTATTAAGAGCTAGAAAGGATAGGGAGTTGTGGAGAGTCATGATCGCCAATATCCTCAAAGGTGGCACATAGAGGAAGAAGAAGAACAAACTTCTGTAAATGGCTGACAGAAAAGGGATTAGGAGAGATAGCAAAAAGACAAACATTAAGAGCTAAAAAGAACAGGAAGTTGTGGAGAACCATGATCGCCCATGTCCTGAAGGGACACACCACATAGATGAAGAATCAAAAGAACAAGCTTGTGTAAATGGTTGACAGAAAAGGAGTTAGGAGAGATAGCAAAACGACAAACATTATTAAGAGCTAGAAAGGATAGGGAGTTGTGGAGAGCCATGATCGCCCATGTCCTCAAAGGTGGCACATATAGGAAGAAGAAGAACAAACTTGTGTAAATGGTTGACAGAACAGGGATTAGGAGAGATAGCAAAAAGACAAACATTATTGAGAGCTAGAAAGGATAGGGAGTTGTGGAGAGTCATGATCGCCCATGTCCTCAAAGGTGGCACATATAGGAAGAAGAAGAACGAACTTGTGTAAATGGTTGACAGAACAGGGATTAGGAGAGATAGCAAAAAGACAAACATTATTAACTGCTACAAAGGGTGTTGTGGAGTTTTTAAAAAAAAAGTAATGTGGAGTAATGGATAGCGGCTTAGATTGAGGAATTGGAGAGCCAAGTTTGAATTCCAGTCAAATCCATGACATTCATTTACATGCTAATACCCTTGAGAGAGGTATGAATCCTCTTCTTCTCCCCCCAGCTATGGGTAAGTAGCAGGACAGACAGAGTTCTATAGCCTTGGATGGCAACTGGTCTACCGCAGAAAGAAAAGCCAACCTACTACTGGAAAAAAAATCTGCCTTGTCAGTCATGTATTGAAAGATACATGATCATCTAAGCGTGTATCACACATGGCACATAACTGATTGAATGTAATATTTTTTCCTTCTCTATTTATTTTTTTTTTATTGTTTTAATTTTATTACATGTTTTTTTTTTTTCTAATACATTCTCCATTAATTTTCATTAAACTATGAAAATGAAATCAGTTAACGAAACATTTTTTATTTTAGGTTGTACTTTTGGCTGATAAAATTGATGTTTACAGACAGCCATTTGGCATTCGCACAGTTGCTGTTACAGATGATCAGTTACTTATAAACAAGAAACCATTTTATTGTCTTGGAGTCGGACGACATGAAGATGCAGATGTAAGTGCATTTTAAAGCAGTTATATTTTCCCATTATTTTTTTTTTATATATCTTAATAATCATTATGCTGACCTGTCATTGATAATGTACATAACTATATATACATGGATGGATGATTGGCATCTAAACTGTCTTCCCCAATTAGCTTTTCTATTGGTGAGGAGGGTGGCATGTTACCCCACAGGATGAAAAACAACACCTGTCAAATAGTAGATGAGCTTCTTATAGGAGCCCCCCCACACACACACACACACCCACATGCAGACATATATTTGTGTAGAAGTAAAGGTACTATTGAACTTTGCGTGATCATCAATGCACTTTGTGGCTCAGAGGTCTAAAGCATGTCAGATCTAACAACGGTTTCCCCTGCCCAGGGAGACGTAGATTTGAATCTTGCTGGAGAGTGCATATTTTTCTTTAATAAGATTTCTCAAATATTCAGGCCAGTAGATGAAAATAAATAAATATACTGTTTAATAAATAAACGAAGCATCTACTTTAATATGAATATCCACTCAAAATAATGTTTCAGTAATAAAATCTGTTGGATTAATAAGTAAAAATCTATTACATCTTTAGAAATTGCTTTGTTTACATTAGGATACAAAACTGAGCAGATCATCGGTGCACTTTGTGGTTGAGAGGTCTAAAGCACTTTAGATCTAACAAAGGTTTCCCCTGCTCAAGTGGACACAAGTTCAAATCCTGCTCGAGAGCACATATTTTAAGGCAGTCATCCACCTAGGTACTGACCAGGCTTGACATTTCTTAACTTTGGTTATTGTACAAGAACAGGTGTTTCATCATGATATAGCCATAAGTCTACCTAAGTGGATGCTTTTGCTGGAAGAGATGGAAATGACACTGATGCCTTATGGGGATTCACAAGTATACAGATGACTCCTTGAGGTAGTGGTCACTGTGAATAGCTGATATCTGCCACAATAGAAGACCATAAAACATATTGAATAATGATGCTATGAAATTATATAGGAATATAATTTTGTCAAAAATATGCAGAACTTTTTATATCAACCTAATATATTAGCCTATTTCTCTACTGCATATATATATATATATATATATATATATATATATATATATATATATATATATATTATATGTTTCGTTAAAGATTACTGACAAGGTACTGCAATTGAGATTTTAGTTTCCTGTGTTTGTAAAAAAAGTGTTTTCTATTCTCGACATAAAATGCTGAAACTTTTTACAACCTAATATATTAGCCTATTTCTTCATTTTATATATATATATATATATATATATATATATATAATGTTTCATTGAATATGACAAAGTGATTTGATTTTGTTTTTTATACAATTTCTCATGTGATCTTATAATTTTTTTTTTTTTGGTAGATAAATTATACAAAAACTGTCCAATTGTCTTTTTTTCCAAGCACTTTCAGCTATACATTTAGCCATTTTTAAAGTTGAAATATATTAACTGTTAACAAGAAATAGATTGTTTTATATATATATATATATATATATATATATATATATATATAATTATTTTTTAATCATTTCATCCCAAGCAGGGCAGTAAAGACCCTAAGACACAAGGTAATTAGTAACAGGTGTGTAATTATTAAAAAACAAAAACATTACTAAGGAGTGAGAATAAAAGAGTAATTAGGAGGACAGTAGATAACGATTGACATTGCATTTAAATCTTTTGAAGACTAAAGTTGCCTGGAAAGCATGGAGCCAGAAGAGAGTTTGACAAGTGAAAAGTACAAGAAAGAGAAGAAACCGTTAGCATAGAACTTACGGTTACATCTAGCCATTTCAACTGTAAAATGATGAGACCTTGCCACAAATCCAATACTATGTTTAAATTCATAAAGTCTAGGTACCATAGAGTAATGTTCATTGGAACAATTACCATGAAAGTATTTATAGAAAATGTACAGGGAATCTCTATTACAGTGATAGGAAAATGACTGAAGCCTAGATGCCAGACCAGGAGGTACATGTGATAAGATACCAGGTCTTCAAGTTTTATGTGAAGATACATTTTAGCTGTTGATGCTGTTGAAAGTCAAGTAAAGTAGTTTCTGTTATTTGGTAGAGTTTTTCTGTTTGTGATTCTGTAACAGTCCCAGGTAAGTTAGAGAATTTTGGGGGTTAACTATTTGCTCCTGATCAGGAGGTTTTGAGGAGCATGAAACCACCTCTTAATTGCTGGTGTTCTCAGGTCCACCCTGACCTAGGGTGGTAGCACCTGTTAGGGTCCCAGCTACTGGCAAATAGTTAAATACCCCCCGCCACCCCCCACCCCCATAAAAAAAAACTGGGATCCAAAAACTATGAACGTATAAAAAAAGGTTTTAATACCAACAATACATTTTGAAAAAAAATATACTAGCAATACATTTTTAAAAAAAAGATACCAACAATACATTTTTAAATCAAAAAAAAAATTACCAGCAACAAAAATCTTGTTGGCATTAAATAACCCATTGAGATTGATATGCTGTAAAACAAACCAAACCAAAGATTCTGTAACCCCAGTCAACAAGGTTCAAAAAAGTGTAGTCTTCACCAAAACCCACATGCTTAACACATTGAAAGTCATTTCCATTTACTTTACTATTAAGAAGGGAAGTTATAAGGTTCATAAAAGAGGTTGCTGACAAGTCTTCAGAGTGGTTATGTATGAAACAGGAGAAAACATGGAAATAATAATTTAAAAAAAAAGATCATACCTAAATACCTAACTACATAGTACACTGGTGGTATCAACAAAGGTATAACAAAGTGTCCTTGCTGATAACAGAAGGTTCAAAAAAAGGTCAAAGCCAGTACCATATTATAGACAAGACAAATAAGAAGGAATGTTTCCTTTTTGTTGTTATATTGATCAGTTATTTTACAAATTGGTGCCATCATCATTTACAGTTATTCTTGGTTGAATGTAGTTTGCTTATGGGTTTCATCCTGTTGCATAATCAACAATGATGGGGTCAAATGGGCAAGATAGTATGATACTGAAAGACATGAAACTGTCAATGAATCCAGTAATAACATCATTGATAATGCATCCTAAGAAGCGCATTATTGTGAAGTATATTGGGATGAAAGAAATTTTTAGTATCTGTCTATATTTCTGAGATGAGGTATTATGTACACTATTTACATTATTCGGACTATTGTCCTCATCTTTGTCGCCATATTTGTTACGTTTTGGCCGTTGTATGCTCTGGCCTTCTTTAGGTGGCTGGAATGTGCCATGTGTCCTCAAGGACACATAGCACAGTGGATAAAGGTGTTAGTTAGATCCAGTGACAAGACCCAAAGAATGTGAGTTCAATACCCAGTTAAGGCAGTGGAGAACTTGGAGAGGGGAATTAACAGGAGATAACTGAAAACTGACATCCATTAAAAACATGGCATGTGGAACGAGAACAGTCTACCCCAGTGAGTGAAATAAAGGGTTCAGTTCTGTAATGAGTTGGTGGGTCAACTTGAAACCCCCAAAGTGAGTGGAGGTGGGCAGGTGCGGGAACGGTGATTGGTAGCTGGCTTGTTGGTGTTTTGCATAGGTGAGTTACCAAGCTCTATGTAAAAGGCTGGAATGAGAAGGAGGGCAGTTTTTTTTCAGTCTCAGAAGTGGAGACTGCGTCCATCGCTACGACAGCAGGAGAGAAAGAGACAAAATCATTTTTTTTCGTGACACATTCCAACACAAGTTCAACATTCCAACCACCTGAAGAAGGCCGGAGTGTACAACAGATGAAACATAATAAATGCAGTGACAATGAGGACAATAATCTGGATAATGTAAAGAAATTTTTGCAGTTTAACTCATTATTAAATTATAAAGCAATTAAGATTGTGGATCTAGACTTTTAGAAAGCGTACTCTCTTCATACAATTGTACAGATGTTTGGACATTGTATCTTACATTGTAGTTTGTCTTTTGATGATAGCAATATTGATATATTATAATTATTTTTTTTTCTAGAACCACATTCCCTGGCATTGCCTCAGTTAAGATTGTGGATCTGGGTTTTTAGGAAGTCTACATTCTTCATACAATTATACAGATGACATTGTACCTTACATTGTAGTATCTCCTTTGATAATAGACAAATTGATATATCAGATTTATTTTATATTTGTTTTTAATCTAATTAATTCTGAAGTTTGTAGACTATTGCCTCTGTTAAGAATGTGGATCTGGGTTTTAAAAACACTGTTCTCTCTTCATCCAGTTGTACAGATGTCTGGACATTGTGCTTTAAATTTCATTCTTTCATTTGATGTTAGACATTGATTTGTCATAATAATAATGTTTTTATCAAGTTATTTCTAAAATAAGTAGAATTATTTATGTACACTGAAATTGCTTCTTTTAATCTTCAGGTTCGAGGTAAAGGTTTAGATCTTCCTCTTATTGCCAAAGACTTCAACCTGATGAAATGGCTTGGGGTGAATTGTTTCCGAACATCTCATTATCCTTATTCTGAAGACCTGATGGATCAGGCTGACCAACAAGGATTTGCTGTGATTGATGAAAGCCCTGGTGTTGGAATTGAAGGGTGAATTTTGTAGAATTTTCTATTGGCACTAATGAACATCACTGGATTTAAGGCACTGATATTCAGAGAACTTAAAACGATTACTTGGTTACTTATTTTAGTGCTTCATTTTACTTAGAATTATTGCCATGCAACACAAACAACAGTCAGTACTTTATTTAAACAAATTAGAAATAACTAATCAACAGTGCCTTTTAATGGCCAGTTGTAACTTATATTATTGCCAACTAAAATTGTTTTTACATTTAAATAAGTAGCAAAGTAATCATTCTAAGTAATGCAGTTACTTGAAATAAGGGCTGCATAATTTGTTAAGTTCATTTAATGTTTATCATAAATTTAAAATATCCTAAGCTATCTGAGAAATTTCTATTTTAAAGGTTTACTTTAGGCATTTTTTATTCTTTTCATTTCCATGGGTGATCAAAGCTCTTCACAAATTCATTTTCTTCATTATCTGTGAATTACCATGATTACTTGGGAAACTGAGTGGTTTCCCATTGCTTTCTCTACATATGCCTTTTTTTTTTTTATCTGTGAAGCACTATGACTTCTTTGGAAAAATAGGGGAGTGTTTTCCGATTGCCTTCTTCACAGATTCTTTTTCTTTATCTGTGAATTACCATAACTACTTGGGAAATATAGTGGAGTAGTTTCCCATTGCTTTCTCTACAGATTCCTTTTTTTTTTTATCTGTGAATTACCATTCTTTCTTTGGAAAGATAGAGGAATGGTTTCCTGTTGCTTTCTCCACAGATTCCTTTTTTTATTATCAGCGAATTACCATGAATTCTTGGGAAAGATAGTGGAGTGGTTTCCTGTTGCCTTTTCTATAATCTGGAGTGCTTAATCTATAATAGTATGAAACAAAAATTTTAAAAAACATTGATTATTTCTAGCCTTTTGTTCTCATTCTACTGTCCAATGTGATTGGTCCTGACCTGGGGTCTCGACTCCAGTCACTTTCTCACCGATGTAATGTGGCTTCCCTCTGTCTTTTCTATAAATATTTTGATGGCATCTACTCTGACGAGCTATTTTCACTGGTGCCCCAACTGCATGAATTTAAGCATGCTACTATGTTAGCATCTCAGCCACACCCTTTTACTATTCAAACAGTTAAATGTAACTATCTCTTCTACTCCAACAGCTTCTTCTCTCATACTTCCCAACAGTGGAACTCCCTTCCTCTTACTTGCTTTCCTGATAATTATAATCTTCAAAAAGTTAAATGTAATGTTAATTGACATTTTCTGTTGCCTTGATACCTGTTCTTATTATCCTCCCCTGTTCCTCTTTTTATCCTTTCCTCACCCCCACCAATTTTTTCCCTTAATTACACCCTCTGTAGCCCCTTGTGTGCTAGTAGCAATCCTGCCTTGCTTGGGATGAAATGCTTAAAAAACAATGTCTAAGAATATCTTGTCTCGAGTCAAATTTGATCTTCAAGTCTAGTTGAAGTGATCTGTATTTATTTATAGTAATTGACTTTGTTTATTATTTAATTTTTCTTGTACAGGAACAATATGGGATCAGCGTCTCTTGCTCATCACCAGGAAGTCATGCGAGAAATGATCCATCGTGATAAGAACCGCCCATCAGTTATTATTTGGTCAGTAGCCAATGAACCGCAGTCTTATCGACCAGAAGCAGAACATTATTTTGGGTGAGATTTGATTCTATTTTGGATTTTTCCAAATTTATGATATAATAATCTGATTGCTGTTTATGGGTATGTTTATTTTTTTGTTACCTTAACACAGCAAAAACAGCACATCATAGCAAGATTAACTTAGAGCAATATCATTAAAAATTCTCTAACTTGAAGAATAAAACAACTTCCAGTCGTTACACTTTCATTATTTCAAAGTATTATTCTTGTCATGGTTGTTATAGATGTTATTATAGACACAATGTTTCAGCTAAATGTTGTGTCTATAATAAAATTTATAACAGCTAAAATGAGAACATAGTTTGAAATATTGAAAGTATTTTAACAATTACTCATTTCAGAAATGGAATACAAAATTATGAAAAGTAGTAGGAACCTGTCATGATAACCAAAGATTGAAATCATCTGACACTGAATATAAAGGCTCCAAAAATACACCTTTAGATGGTGGTCTAGTGGACATACATGTGTTACTGTCATCTAGTGGTCAGCAGGAATGAACAGTAACTGGCATTACATGCACGGTAGAGTAATGGATAGCGGCTTGGATTGAGGAATCGGAGAGCCGAGTTTGAATTTGTCGAATCCATTACATTCACTTATGTGCTAATACTCTTGGGTATGAATCCTCTTCTTCTCCCTCCAGCTATGGGTAAATAGCAGGGCAGACTGGGTTCTATAGCCTTGGATAGCAACTGGTCTAGGAGAAGGACAACTCTGAATTCAAAACCTGCGGAGGGTCGTTTGGGGACCTTGTGGCACGTAGTGCACCAGGTCTCTGTAATCTGCCCTTCAAAAAGTGTGGATGGTCCTGCACGAAACGTTCACCACTATAATCAAATCTCATGTGCTATACATGCTGGTTGGGGACTGCTTGTGAATTCCAAATTCCCATGAAACTCCAATATTGGAGCCAGCTCAACCCACCTCGGGTGAATGCCGTTACAAGAACAAGAGAGAGAGAACAGGGACAAAATAACAAAATCGACAGATATCCATTATCAGCTAAACAATGGACATCTGATCATGGCTAGAAGGTATTTGGTTGAAATGTTTCATCTGTAAAAAAAATCTATATTAACTAGAGTCTGTCTATATTTCCGAGATGAGGTATTATGTACATCATTTACATTATTCGAACTATTTTCCTCATTTTTGTCGCCATATTTATTACAACGTTTTGGCCATTGTACGCTCCGGCCTTCTTCAGGTGGTTGGAATGTCGAACTGAACCTTTTATTTCACTCACTGGGGTAGACTGTTCTAGTTCCACATGCCATGTTTGATGGATGTCAGTTATCAGTTATCTCCTGTTAATTTTCCCTCTGAAAGTTCTCTACTACTGCCTTAACCGACACATGGCACAGTGGATAAAGGCGTTGGTTAGATCCAGTGACAGGACCCAAAGAGTGTGAGTTCAATACCCGGTTAAGGCAGTGGAGAACTTTCAGAAATATGGCCGCTATAAAAAACACAATTTATGTGCATCGATCTTGGTCAAAATGAGACGATATTCACACACATGCAAATTTCTGCCGTATCAGACAGCCATGAAAAGCAAAATGCCAGCAGCACAACTCAGGTTGGGAGTCATTCGGCGGACTTCGTGCAATAGAGTTGGATGTACGAATTGACTGACAGACAAAGAGGAAGTCGACTTAGGCATGGCTAAGTTAGTGTCTGTTTCACGACTGCCCGGTGTAACGGCCGAGAAAGGGAGTCTCGCAATCCATTTCCTTGAGGCGGCAGATGACGAAAGAGCAGCTGGTCTGCCGGCAAACGGTGCACTGCACTTTCTGACCCCCCTCTCATCACTTTCTTCTTTTTGTTTACTAAACTGAGGCGAAAAAGAAGTTAACCTCCTTTAGCATTAATAACAACAACGACAAGTTCTGCCTTCCAAGTTACCCATTCTTCGTTTCCACAACAGCTTTTCACATCAACTTATTGATTAAATGCCCATTCCAATCAGCCAGCAGGTATAGATTCACTTGCTTGTAAAATCTACTCCATTTACATTCTTCACAAAAACATGTGTTTCTATAGCGAAGAAAACGGCGACTTACCTTGTCAAACCAAGCGACAGCGCGTCGCGTGTATTCTACGATGGAAAAAGTGGCAAAAAAGAAAATTACTTACCAAACAAAAGCGCACATATTCCGCATGACATGCTGAAAATGGAATATTTGAATTAAAAAACAAGTCCGTCGTAGGAGTCACTATAACAGTATTTTGATATGCAAATTACTGAACATCCTCTCCCAGCTGTCGACGAATGAAAAAAAAATGTTCGGCCGATAAAAGCAGTTGGTGTTCTCGATTCATGAGGAGAAAATTTGGGTATTTTGGCTACTTCGTTTGTTTGAGAGTGAGTTATTTTTCTGACTGGTTACACACATTGTGATTTGTGAGATAGTACCGGCGAATCGAGTTTTCATCATTTTTTTTCTGCCCCCAATATTTGAGTCTGTACTTACAGTGATTTTTTTCTTTGTGTTGTGGAAGTAATCTACGGAAAATACTTCCTTTGCTTTCAGAACGCTTACAGTTTCTTATGTGGCAAATAGCAACCACAGCAGTTCTCATCCCAACTGGCCATCAGGCAAAAACTTACTTGTGATCACTTTGTTATATATTTATAAAAAATATATTTTCAATTATATATTTTTTTATCTGTAAAAAAAATATTATTATATACTTTTTTAATTATAATAATAAATGCTTCACCCAAGAAATTTAAAAAAACAATATTTTGTTTTTATTTTTCTTGTTCTAGAGCTGTGGTGAACTTTACCCGACAACTGGATGCCACTCGACCTGTTACATTTGTTATGAATGCTGATTTCACCAATGACCGAGCTGTAAGTTTTCTGAAATATATACTAGCTAAATTCTGATCAGAAATTTTTCACTGTAACTTTTGATTAATATTCGCCATAGAATTAAGTGCAGATTATGTTGAATCATCATTATCATATTATATGTATTATTATTACACTTCCTTAAAGGTGTTTTTAAAAATAATTACAAAAATCTTCTCTAATTTTTAAATTTTGAATTTTCTTTAAGTAATTTTCCTTATAGAAACTAGATGTTAATATTTTAAAATTTAGGTCAAGATTATTTTAACTGGTGTCTGAATTCTAACACTCCCCACCACCACTACCATGAAACTATGTTTAAGCTTTGTCTAGATGATTTGCTGTGTCCTCAGTTATATTATTCTTTCTCCCCTTTCTCCATTTCTGATTTTTCCTTATCTTTTTCTTTTTCATCTTTCTCTCTTCTCCTTCTTTCTTGATTCTTTAAAGTTTAAGATTTTTAAGCTATCTTTTTACTTTATTTCCTAACCCCTTGGTGTTGACAATCCTGCAAGGTAGTTCTTGTAGGGGTGAAATAGCTATACATATGGGGTATTTTTGAATTTCTCTTACATCTAATTTACATGTGCTCTGTTGTAATAAATGCATTGAGCTCTCTTTGTGGATCAGTTTTAATATTTTATATTATTAGGATTCCCTTGGATTATTTGCCTACAGATTTTTACCTGTGTGTATATAGTAATTTTCCAAGCGTAGCTTGGATGTGGCACATGGCCGAAAGTAAGGGGCACCCAGTGAGGATCGAACTCACTACTCGGCCGTAATTGTTCTAGCAAGACAAGCTTGCTAATCATTACACCACCTCGAGGTGCCCAACCTGCCTGTGTGTGTGTGTGTGTGTGTGTGTGTGTGTGTGTGTGTGTATATATATATATATTTGGTTGGATAGATGTGAGTTTGTGACCCTGGGTTTCACGCTTTTAGCGATCGTCAGACAAACAAATTTTAATAAGTAATACAAACATATAATATATAAATAATTATACATATATATATATTTATTTATATTTATATTCACTTTTCACATATATATATATATATATATATATATATATATATATATATGACAATAGGAAAACTGTAGTAGTTGCTGATGTGTTTCGTCCAATGTGGACATTTATATTTGTAAATATTGTCTTTTCTACAGGTTAACTCTGAGAATTTTTCATATATATATATATATATATATATATATATATATATATATATGTATGTGTGTGTGTATAATAAGTTTTTTACTATTAGAATATCTTGGGACCAATATTACTAGAGGAATTCATTGTAAATTTGTATAATAGGAACTGTTTATGTATTAAACCAGCACTTCATAAACTATGGGTTGTGACCCCAAATGGGGCTGCAAAGCGAAATGCTAGGGTTGTGAAAATTAAATTCAAACACTTGAATTTCAGTTTATATGTTATTTCACAAATACACAATATTTAATATAATGCACCATGCAAGTGGTTATAAAATGCATGTGCAGTGCTGTTGCGACTAGTCCAGTGACAACATAGGTATTTTTCATGTAGTTGGTTTTATACTTAGGGTCATGAAAAATCACATGATGAAAAATAGGGGCATGAATAAAAAAAAATGTTTAAGAAGTGCTGTATTACACGATAATCTTTAGGATAATGAAGTGGTTTCCTGTTTCCTTCTTCATGGTGATTTCCTCAAAACACCAACTTTAGTTAACTGGCCATTGACTCTTTGAGTTTGTCTGCCTTTTGGTAGGTTGTATTTTTTCTTCCTAAAGGGTCCCTGTTGAAGTGGGTCAGGAGAGTTAGTTTATTCATAAACAATCTAGAATAAACAAAATTTATAGTTATTTACATTCTGATTCTACAACTGTTACAAACATTCCTTTATACGTGACAGGAAATATGTGGATTGGTTCACAGACTAGTTCAAGGGAGGGTTTGTGTATCAGGATGTTCAGGCCATAGATGATGAAAGTAGAGAATCCAGAAACTTGTGTGCTTGTATAGGATTTATAAAATAATTTGATATATACATACATACATACATACATAGATATTAACTTATATATTACCTACATATGTACATACTTACATATTACCTACATATGTACATACTTACATTACATATTACCTACATATGTGCATACTTACATATTACCTACATATGTACATACATATATATTGTCTACATATGTACATACATATATATTATCTACATACATGCGCACATATATATTGCCTATATATTATGAAATGGACTAATTCCAACAATTATTTTAATATATTTTCTATTTATACATTAACTTTATAGATACAAATATTTAAATATATGCTCTGTTTATAATAAAAAGTATTAACTACATTTACTGGCCTGAATGTCTGAGAAATTTCATAGAAAATATGTGTCCTCTGATAGGAATCAAACCTGTATCCTACATGGAACTATCACTTTGCCTGACATGCATTTAGCTACAGAGGAAGTATTTGACTTTTGCTAACCAGACACTTGTAGGATACAGGTTCAATTCCTGTCAGAGGACACATATTTTCTATGAAATTTCTTGTTCATTCAGGCTGGTAAATGTAGTTAATATAGTTTATTATAAACAGATCATTTACTTAAATATTTGTACCTATAAAAATAACATATAAACAGAAAATATATTAAAATAATTGCTGAACTTAGTCCATTTCATAGTATATGCTGTCATTGGTTTATGTTAAGATACGCTTCGAGCAGATATGATTGTTCAGGAGAGATCATGGGAAATTAGTTGTTTAAAAACAGTAATTTAACTTTACTAACTGGACACCTTCTCTGTAGCTAAATGGTATAGCACGTCAGTCCAAATGATATTTCCGTTTAGGATACAGGTTCAATTTCACCTGGAGGACACATATTTTCTATGAAATTTCACATACATTCAGGCCGGTAAATGTAATTAATACTGTTTATTATAAACAGAGCATTTACTTAAATATTTGTATCTATAAAAATAGTGTATAAACAGAAAATATATTAAAATAATTACATACATACATATATATATATATATATATATATATATTACATAGAGGGTGCAATGGGTAAATTGTTGCCATTTTATATTTTTAATTTTGTGCTTGTGTGTTTTTGATTTTGTCGACTGCACAGTATAATAGCGTCAGTTGGACACCGTCTGTGAGAAAAAAAAAACACCATGATGCAATTCACTCTACCAGAAATTTGAAAACAGCATGCTGTACTGTTTGGCATTTGCACCAGAAGTTCCAATATCAACATTTGAGAGTGTTTGGGTGTCAATGTGATGAAAGTGCAGAGGATTCAGAACGTGTTGAATGAGTCTAATGGTGATTACAAAGGTATGGCAGCTTGGAAAACATACTCTGATTGTTTTGATAAGAAAAGAACTACCAAATTTCTTGGTGTGAGCCTCAGGATCAATATGGAGCCTAACAACAAGTGCCTTGAGGAGGTAGTGCTGCACTGGGTGAAGAGGGTGTCTGCTGGAAGATCCAATGTCTGGCAACAGGACTCTGCACCATGCCACATAAGCAGGAGAATCCAGTCATGGCTGTCAGACAATTTCTATGACCACATCACCCCTTACATCAGGCCACCTAACTTCCCAGACTGCAACACCCTTGATTATTATGTGAGGGGCACAGTTGAGTAAGAGACCAACAAAACTCCTTATAACACCAAAGACGAACTGAAGGCAAGGATTATGGCAGCACTCACCAACTTAAACAAGGAGACCACCCAGAAGAGCTGCAAGAGATTCCAAAGTCATCTGGAGGACATGGTTGAAGCCTATGGCTATTTTATTGAATACTTCAGTATTTCAAGATATTTTTGTGTATTTGTTGTAAATATATCTGTTAAAATGTCAGCGTTATTTTAATTTTTGTGTAATTTAGACGACAATTTATCCATTGCACCCTGTATATTACCTACATATTACTTACATACATACATATATATTACCTATATACATATTAGATTAACCACAACTTGTGTGACCTAAATTCATTCTCTTCCACCCAAAACATCCCCCAATCAATAGGAATGTATTGGAAATGATTTTACTATTAGGAATGCATTGGAAACGATTTTACTATTAAGAATGCATTGGAAATGATTTTACTATACGGAATGCATTGGAAATGATTTTACTATTAGGAATGCATTAAGAATAATGTATTATGAAGTATTTAAAAATTTTGAAAGACTAACAGCATTTTTACTTTTGTTTACAAATACTTGTTGCAAAATAAAATCCTCACATTTGCTTTGATAAATTCAAGCAGAGGATGGAATGTGTTGGCTAAGATAAATTTTTCTTTTCTCTTTATTCATATTGTCCTTTTAAAGATATATTGTAGTTATATCTGAAATTTTTATGCATAAGTATATATAAAAAGGAGAAAGAGCAAGGATAAGAACAAAAAATTATTACTTACCATAAATAGTGGATCAAAGTATATAACAACCAAAAAAGGGACAACCAGTTATTGTTCCTCACTCTTCACAACTCAATTGAGGACAAAACATATAAATATGTGTACAGTGAGTAAAAAAGGATGATAAAAATAAAAATATAGTACTTTTACTTTTTTGTTATATTTATCACTTTACGTTGAGTAATTTTTTTCTTATCTTTGCTTTTCCACCCACTTTGTTTTATATATTTTTGTATCGCGTTAAGGTTTAAGTGATTAACTCAAGGTCAAGGTTCACTTCTTAGTAAAAATATCTTTCTACTTTACATAAATGATCTGCCTAAGAGTATACTTTGATCTTTTATGAATATCTATACTGATGGTACAACCTCCAAAACTCTTAACCGAGTATTGAACTCACACAGGACACATGGCACAGTGGATAAAGGCGTTGGTTAGATCCAGTGACAGGACCCAAAGAGTGTGAGTTCAATACCCAGTTAAGGCAGCGGAGAACTTTCAGAGGGAAATTAACAGGAGACAACTGATAACTGACATCCATTAAACATGGCACATGGAACTAGAACAGTTACCCCAGTGAGTGAAATAAAGGGTTAAGTTCGACATTCCAACCACCTGAAGAAGGCCAGAGTGTACAACAGCCGAAACATTGTAATATGGCAACAAGGATGAGGACAATAATCCGAATAATGTACATAATACCTCATCTCAGAAATATAGACAGATATAGTAATGCCTTGAAATACAAGCGTACTGACATACAAGTTTTTTGAGATATGAGCCAGAGTTCAACTGATTTTTTTTTTGCCTTGAGATACAAGCAATTTTCAGTTAAGCATCCATTATTTGGTGCAGTGAGTGCCAATATTCAAGAGTATTTCCACTCACTGTACACATGTTCACCTCATTTTGGAAGAATCTCTGTTGTGCTGTGTTGTCTTTTTTGCCATTATTTTGCAAATTTTCTTTATTGACACCACTGGTCCAAAGAAATTAAGTGTAAAGAACATTGGTGAAAAGCCAAAATATATGATTTCATTTGAGGTAAAGCAGGAAATTATAAAAAAAAAAAACATGAGGAAGATGTACAAGTAATACATATGGTAAGACTGTATGAGTGTTCTACATCGACGATAAATAACAATTATAAAATTTAAAAAATTAAATAAAGTTAGTTACAGTAATAGATGAAATGTAAATGTTTTAACAAATTTTAAAATTAAGTGATAGTTAATCTTTGGTATTGTAGGCTAGGACAGCTGTTTTGAGACCAGCTGTTGTCCCCCTTCCAATCTCTCTCTCTCCTCTACCAGTCGGCCTATGACTCGTCTGAACTTATATGTTTTAGTATAGTTTATTTCTTTACAGTTTGTTTTTTCTCTTCTATTTTATTGTTTGTAAACTACATTTCTTGATTATTTACACATTTTTGTTTGTAAGGCACTGAAATATAGAAAAATAGGGGTGAGTATGAGGAAAATAAGGGTGATATTTTTTTTTAGTGCCCTGGAATGGATTGGAAATATTCCCATTACTTTCAATGGGAAAAACTGATTTGAAATACAAGTTACAATTTACCCATCGCATACCATATATACTTGCAAAATGTCTAAAGTCTTAATAAAATTTTACCTCAGTAGATTATTTAAAAATTAGTTAAAAACCTTTCAGTAATTCATTTTCTTTTCTTTTATGTAGGCTAAATTTGTGGACATTTTATGTATAAACCGTTACTATGGTTGGTACAGTGACAATGGACATACAGAAGTGATTCCACTTCAATTGGCTTATGATCTTGACAGCATCTACAACTTGCATCATCGACCCATCATCCTGGCTGAATATGGCGCTGATGCAATTGCAGGTTTGCATAGGGTATGTTTCATTATCTGATCTTGTTTTTTTGACTTCAAAAACACCTGGCAAGCTTAATTATAGTTTTACTAAAGAATCTTACCAATAATGAATTAATTTTATTTTCCTATAAAATTACATGCCATTCTAAATAATCACCATTGCCTTTTTATAGCCATCTGTCAATTATATTATTTCCAACTAAGATTTACTTAAGTACTTAAGTAATCATTCTAAGTAACTCAGTTAATCGAAATAAGTACTGCATAATTTGTTTTGTTAAATCACATTATTGATAAAATCGACGATGGAGAGTTGAACTCATATGATACCTACAGTGCAATATTGACAGAATAGTTCAAGGGAGACAACTTCGAACTTGTGTTCAAACGTTTAGTAGAAATGAATTAGAATTAGCCAAACATTTTACATTAGTTCTCAATCAGTGGTGAATTCTACCTCGGCTAGAATTTTAATTTTTCGGTGTGTATGTAAGTGTGTGTGTGGGGGGGCTGTCTTTTACTTTTTCATGTTTTTTATTTATAGAATTTTGTTTATCGAATTACAATACCCTGGCATTCTATTGAACTTTTTGTTTATTGAAGTCTGCTTCAGTTTATTTATTTAATAATTAGTTATGAATTAAAACAAATTACTGTATTCAAGTTTAAAAATCCATCAACATTTTCTATTGAAATTAAATTTGTAAAACTCCTCTATAAATCTATGTATATGTATTTGTATGAATATAGGAAAGAATGAAGATTTTCAATAATATATGTATATTTGGAATGCGCTTTTTGAATCCAAAAATATTGGAAGAAGTGGTGAAATTCTAAACTATGGTGAAAAGGGGTGCATTAAGCAAAAAAGATTAAGAACCATTGTTTTGCAATAAAAAGCAGCAAAAATAGATGAAAAAATTTAATCAAAATATATGTAATGGTGAAAATAATTTTACTCAAAAATAATTTAGGAAGTGAACTTAAAAGCTAATTCATATTTATCATTAGTTACTGTTAGGTGTATACAGTTTTAAGTAACTTCATTCAATAAGATTGGTTTTGACTCCATTGTGGCTGCTATCATATCAGCATACAATTTTATTGTGCTTGCCAAAATATTAATTCTGTGTTTGTCATAGGTTGGCATTAGGAGTGTTCAGTTTTAACTAATTTAATTCAGTAAGATTGTTTTTGATTCTGTTGTGACTGCTATCATATAAGTATACATTTTTATTGGGCTGGCCAAAGATTCCATTTTGTGTTTGTCATAAGATGGCAAGAGTGTTCAGTTTTAACTATCTTCAATCCATAAAATTGCTTTTGGTTCTATTGTGATGGCTATCGTATCAGTATACATTTTTATTGAGTTGACCAAAGAATTCTGTGTTTGTCATAAGATGGCATTAGGCCTGTTTAGTTTTAACTTCATTCAATAAGATTACTTTTGATTCTTTTGTAACATATCAGCATCTATTTTTATTGGGTTGACCAAAAAAATTAATTCTCTGTCATTAACATTTTCACTGCTACTCATTTGCCCAGTGCTTCCCCCCATCCGGCCAGCCATTTTTAAAGAAAATGACAAATTTCAACCTACATATTTTATTACACAGAAAACTGGCACCAGTGTGTTTTACAGCCTTCCATTTTCATGGATATACCTGGGAATGACTTACCAGATCAGTAATCGGTATACACAAGATATCTTTTGAAGCATTGTCCTTTGTGATTTTACGATAGATGGCGCAACGGGACACTCATACTAGAGGCATGCAAAAAACGTAGGTTTCTGTGCTTAACCAGATGGAACAAGATAAGAAAAACGAAGATCTCCGTAGTTAGCAGCGGAAGTGTTAAATATCATTAGGAGCATTTTTCTCTGAATTTTTGAGATGAGGAGTTAGAATTGTTTACTTTTTTTTTTACAATAGGACTAATGTCCTCATTGTTGTTCAATTATCATAATGTTTCAGCAGTTGTGCTCTCTTGCCTTCTTTTGGTGTTAGCCAATCTGGAATTTCAAAGAACAAGATGTTTAATGGTCTGCTTTATGGTACTTACCATTTTATTTTGTTAAAGACGGCCTGTAAGAACTAAAATCACTTAGTAATGGTCTGTAAGAAAATTTTGTAGGTCAGCTGCTAAGAAAGTTGGTTCACTGTGTCATGCTAGACAATTTTTCTCTCCAGAACTTATCTTACATATATATAAGTCTACCATTCATCTATGCTTAGAATATTGTTGCCACATATGGTCTGGTGCTCCTGCTGTATATCTAGAAATCCTACTTAAAATCCAAAGAAGAATCAGCAATATTATTGGTCCTGAACTGTCATTTTGGCTTTAGTCTCTTTCCCACTACTGTAATGTTGCCTCCCTGTGTCTTTTCTATAAATGTTTTTGTGGTAATTGTTCAAATGAGCTCTTTGCTATGGTATCTAGACTTTATGAATTTAAGTGCAGTACTAGATTGGCGATGAGGTCTCATCAATTTACAGTTGAGTTGACTAGATGTAACCATAAGTTCTATGCTAACAGTTTCTTGCACTTCTCGCTTGTGGAATTCCTTTCCAGCTCCATGCTTTCCAGCCAACTTTAATCTGCAAAAATTTAAATACAATGCCAATCACTATCTATTGCCCTCCTGATTACTCTTCTTTTTTTTCTTGCTCCTTTGTAATGTTTCTCTTTTCTAATTCTTCCACACCTGGTAAGTGCTTGTATCTAAGTGGCTTTACTGCTTTGCCTGGGGTGAACACAATTAAAAAAACACAAACAAAAAGAAGACTGTAATGTTGTATCTGAATGATCAACAATGGTCAGAGAAAATATTTTGATGACTGAATGATGAGGCTATGAATTTGGCTGAATAAGAAATTTTGTAATAAAGTATTGGAATTTTTTGCGTCACTCTCATATTTCTGATGTAATTATGAACTTTCCGCTATAGTACCTAGGTTCTATGTAACTTATGAACTTTCTGCTATAGTACCTAGATTCTATGTAACTTATGAACTTTCTGCTATAGTACCTAGATTCTATGTAATTTATGAACTTTCTGCTATAGTACCTAGGTTCTATGTAATTTATGAACTTTCTGCTATAGTACCTAGATTCTATGTAACTTATGAACTTTCTGCTATAGTACCTAGATTCTATGTAATTTATGAACTTTCTGCTATAGTACCTAGATTCTATGTAATTTATGAACTTTCTGCTATAGTACCTAGATTCTATGTAACTTATGAACTTTCTGCTATAGTACCTAGATTCTATGTAATTTATGAACTTTCTGCTATAGTACCTAGATTCTATGAATTTAAGCACAGTACTAGATTGGTGGCAAGAGTTCATCATTTAACAGTTGAAATGGCTAAATGTAATCATAAGTTCTATGATAACAGTTGCTTCTATCACACTTCTCACTTATGGAACTTTCTTCTGGCTTTCCAGTTAAGTTGGACCATCAAAACTTTAAATGTAATGTCAATCATTATCTTCTGTCTTCTTAATTTCTGTTCTATTATTGTTCTCGCTCCTTAGTTTTTTTCTTTTTCTTATATTCTTTCACACTCAGTAACCCCCTGCATCTTAGTGGCTTTGTTACCTTGTTTTTGGAATGAAACGATTATTTAAAAAAATATTATATTTCATCAATTATGATAAATGTAGTAAAATACTTAATATTGTATATTTGTTACTGCAAGTATCATATTTAGTGGAATCTCATGTTTGAGTAGATATCTTTGTTTTTTTTTTTTGTTTTGTCCTTTTTTTTAAAGGAAATAATGGGCATCTACGAGACTGAGTTTTTTGAGTCTTTAATAAAGAAAATATGTTATTCAGCAGGATTCAAACCTGCATTCCTGTTATATAGGTAAAACCTCTCTATAGCCTGTCATATTTTTAGACTGCTAAGCCATGAAATAATTATTATTAATGTAGAAAAAAAGCACTTCTGTTAAAATTTTTCAAAACCCATATCTGCTAACTTTTTTGTTATCCAAAATGTAAGCAAAGTAATTTGTAAGGATTTACTCTATTTACACCATTCAAACTGAACACTTTATTTAGTCCATGGGGGTAGATTGGAATTCCACATGCTGTACCTTTTTTCAGTTTCTCACCAAGTTTTTGTTCTTTCTGCTTTGGCCAGGTATTGAACTCACAACTTTTTGGGTCAAGTCACTTTTTGGATTACTTCAACCAATGCATTTATTCACAGGTGGGCCATTGCCTAGAAAAGCATTTTTTCTACATTAATAATAATTCTATTTTATGGTTATTTTACAGGATCCATCAGTTAGTTTCAGTGAAGAATACCAGGTTGACCTGTTGGCTGCGAATCACAAAGTGTTTAACAAACTTCGACATAAATACTTGGTAGGAGAAATGGTGTGGAATTTTGCTGACTTCCAAACAGCACAAAGCAAGTATCCATTTTACATTTAAATCATACAAATAATATTTTTGCTGTTAAGACACTGTATAAAAAAAGAGGTCAATTTTTTGAGATAAATTAAGGAACATAAGTCTCCACAAAAAACATGATACCTAAGCCGTCTCTTCTACTCCAATAGCTTCATGTCTTGCACCTCTTGCCTGTGGAACTCCCTTCCCTATTCCAGTTCAGTTTCCCTGAGAGCTATAATCTCCAGCTATTCAAATGTAATGTCAATCGACATCTCCAGTTGCCTTGATCTATCCACTACCCTTCTCCTTATCCTTTCTTCACTCCTATCTGATCTTGCTACAAATTTTCTGTAACCCCTTGTGTCCTAGTGGCTTCTCGCCTTGCTTGGGGTGAAACGCTTAAAAAAAAAAAAAAAATAAATAAATTAAGATAAATTTTTAAAAATGAAAAATATTTTTAATTTCCAGCTAATAGATTAAATTTAATAATTTGCTGTATTTCAAAAACTAATTCAAATTTATTGGAAGTATTTCTTTTTTTTTTTTTTTTTTTTTTTTTTTTTGCTAAAATAGCTGATTAGCACCCTTTTTGTAGTCTTTCATCACAATGTAATTCTCTTTATTAAAAAATCTTCAAAAACTAACATACTTTTCTGAAACTTTATTTGAGGAATATTAGCTGATTTAAAATATAATTAATCTAATTTGAAAGAAATATTATTTACTTGAAGTTTAAAATATCACAGAAATGCATTTTTTAATCTGACAGTATCTATTTTGACATGTTGACAGCGTGATGACAGATCTAATATTGTTCTACAGAGACTATCTGTAAAACATAATTAAAGAAAATGATGTGAGCACCATTTTTAAATAATTTTTATGTATTTAATAATCTTAAAAATTTATGAAAATATTCTCCATAATCTAATGTTTTATAGAATTTTAGAAATGTTAACTTTAAATTTTCTATAGTTAGCATTCTTATTTTCTGATAATATTGTCTATGGTCATCCATACTTACAAAAATCAGCATGTTCATACACCTACAAAAAATTCAAAATTCTTTTAAATATGTTGGTGTTTGATAATTTGTATTAAGCTTTTCCATTTACAATTAATATAGTTTTCACTTAATAATATAATCAGAGAAGCTGAAATTAATACAAGATTTTAAGATTTAAAACTTTATAAATTTTTGTAATTAAAATTTACAAAATGAAAATAATTCTTGTAAAAATTCATTATTCATCGAAAAAAAAATTTTTTCTTAAAAAATATAGTATCTTAGTATCCTTAATATATCTTATTTATAAAAGTAATTAAAAGCTTCCCTAATTAAGTAGTCTTAGTTTTATTGCATTTTTTATTTTACAATTCAGAGCAGATTTTCACTAAATGGTGTTTTTGCATGACAAAAACAAATTGATAATTTAAATTCTCCAAAGGGTCCTGCTTTTAACTAATATAAATATGAAGAGGCTGAAATTTTAATTTCTCGAAATTTCATAAAATTGAGTGGGAGTAATAGATGTAAAAAAACAAAATATTTTTATCAAGATTTTCTGAAAAAAAAAAAAAAAATTCACAAACAGCCAGATCAAAAAAAAAAGGCATTAGCAATAATATTTGCAGTGAAAAAAATTTCACAAGTTTATACAAAGGAGTTTTTTGTTTACAGACGGATCACAGACCTCTATTATCAATTTATAGTTGGATAAAAGAAATTCCTATGCATACAGTGAATAGATTACAATGCTGGGGCACCATCTTATTAAATTACAATTTCTGTATGGTCTACCAACCATCCAAAAAATTAGGACATGCTGAGGGTTTATCAAGATTGATACCAAAAAATACTGTACCGTTTGAGGACACTGTTATTGCAACATTAGTGAATTAGAAATTTAAATATATTATATCTTGTTGGTCATATGAGAACTAGCTGTTACCCTTGAAGAAATAAAAGTAAAAGCAGAACATGTTTATTTAAAAAAAAAAAAAAAATGACTAAAAGAAAGTAAGAAAGATTTTTAGAACACAATTCAGACTTGAATTCTTACTCGTTATGTGACAAAGTACTGATGTTTGCACAAAGTGAAGTAATACCTATCATATTACAAAAGTGGATATTAAAGGAATTTCATAGTGAACATCCAGGAATTTCAAGGATGAAATGAGAAGCTAAATATACTGGACCAAAATGGATCAAGATATTGAAAAATTAGTAAAAGCCTGCAGAGGTTGTGCTCTGGCAGCAAGATCACCTACCACAAAATTACAACCTTGGCCAAAGACAGATATTCCATGATCAAGACTGAACAGATTTTGCAGGCCCAATAAACGGATCACATTATCTTTACTAAGTCACCTGAAATTTTTAAGTGCAAAAACCAACGTCCACAGTTACAGGTAATTTTTTTCACAAACTGCTTTTAAGATATAGCATTTCAGATGCCATAGTCTCAGATAAGGGTACACAATTCACTGCTTACAAATTTAAAGAATTTTGTAAAATGTTCATGAATAAACATACTGCTACCCCGTTGTATCACCCAAGGTCAAATGGACAACCTGAATGGTTTGTGGGTACTTTTAAGATTAAGAGGACTTTGAAAAAAGCAAGTAATGAAAAAGTGAGCAAAGAAGCACAACAGAAATTCTTGAGTGTATACCAGATAACGCCAAATCCTAATACATGTCAACGGTAGAATTGATATTCACAAGAAAAATTAAATCGGTTTTCAACAAGTTGTTACCATGTCAAAAAAGAATAAGAATGGAAAACAAAAAGGACACAAAATATTTCAAAATGGGGAAAAAAAGCATTTTACAGAGTATATAAAAATGGAAAAGAAATGTGGAAAGATGATGTTATAAGGTCATAAATTGAACATATGGTAAAAGGAAAAAAAAATGAGAACTCAAAAGGCATTGGAATCAATTAAAGAAAAGGTTTAATGAAAAAAGCTCCCAAGAAAGGAAGAACCTATGCAAGTACTATATGATATTTTTGACATACCAACAGCCCAAGAATTTGCTGAACATACAAATATGATTACCAGTAAAAGGAAACATACGGAAAAACTAGAGGTTGACCCAAAACGTAAGAAATACAAAGTTCAGTACATGGTGAACTCGCCAGAAAGAGGAAGGCATGAATACTAAGAAATAAAATATTTATTAATGTAAAAAGAAAAAATCTCAAATGTGGGGATGTTGTTGAGTAAATAAGACACCCCCAGTAACACAAATGAACTATGCAAGACGCCTTAAATAAAGAACTCAAAGTGAGTCAGTATAAGTCTATTGGAGCCAGCCAGTGAGAATTCTAATGATGTCATGGTGAGTAGCCTAAGCAAGACATAATATTATAACTGCTTGGAGTGAGTTATAACTTCAATATATGGTCCCCCTATGGAGAAAGATAGCTTATGTAATGTTGGCTGCTTCTCTTGTATTACAATAGCCACCATAATAGTGACATCATAGTGATAAGAATAGTGATTCAACTTTCTACATTAATAACCACTACGCTACATGCATATATGTATAGATAGATATAATTTCTCAATTTATATAAAATTGACACTTTTTTTATTATATATTGCTTTTTGTTTTTCAGATGTGAAAAGAGTGGCTGGTAATAAAAAGGGAATTTTAACGAGACAACGCCAACCAAAACTGGCTGCATTCTTAATAAGATCAAGGTACATGGCAATCAACAATGGGACACTTAATGAAGATGTGTGTGGTCGAAGTATTACTCTGTAAACCTTTTGTAAAATTGTTCAAAAGAAATTTCCTAAACCAAAACCATATATTTTCAACATTTTTTTTTTTTTTTTTTTTTTTTTACAAAACAAAACAAAAAAATAACAAAAAAAAAAATCCATTGCCAAAATTTGTGCAGCAAAATTTCTATTATCTTCTCTTATCTGTTCAATAATTTTGGGGGCAAAGGTCAACTGTCAGAAATTGGGTCTTTCTTCTGACATCATTGGTAATTGGATTCTTTTATAGATCCATCTACCATGTTTGTAAAATTAATAATTCACTAACAATACAGTTGACAGTTTTCTTGTTTTACTTTTCTGATGAATTTTTCTTCTTAAGTTAATTGATTGAATAAGCTCCTTTTGAACTATAAAATACCCATGGAAATTCCCCTATTGCCTCAAGAAATATTTGAGCTTATCAACTTTAACAAAATATTGCAATAACAATCCTAAGTATGTGTCATAACCTAGAAAAGGTTACTGAATGAGGAATAACCAAAACAGAGGTTGGAAAAGAAATGGTAATCTTTATAACATCAACAAAATACAATACTTACCAGCTGCATGAAGTAGGTAAACCACTACTAGTGGTGAACTACTTAGCATATTACCCCCACTAACAATAGTGTCCAACGTATTTATGAGGATCGAGAGATACCCATTAGTGTTCATAGGTACGGTATATAACAGTATGAATTCAGGTTATTATTTAAAGAAGTAAGAGGGTACAAATTTAACAGATTCAAAATTTACAAGATTTTCCATTTTACTGAAGCAGTTCTTAATCACATGCATGTTATTTCTTTCTTTTCCATTCCTCTCTCCCTAAACCCAAACAGCACCTTTGATATATATTTTCTTCTATTTCAGGGACAGGCAAGTTATTACATGTCTATCCTGACAATCAAACAGGAATGACTTATTGTTTATCTGAGGCAATGGCAGGGTGTAATATAAGCGCTAACTCAGGAATAATCAGAAGTATAAAATGAAACTAATTAAAAGGAGGTGCAGATAGTTTAATGGATATTGGCATGGAACATGAATTAGACATGCCAAGTTCAATTCCTGCACAGTTCTGTTTTGTTCAGTTTGCACTAATACCCTTGGATAGGGAACAGATTTATCTTCCTCCAGCTATGGGTTAAATAGCATGCAGACTGAACTCTTGCTTTGAGGCTGCAACCAGTCTAGGAGAAGAAAAACTCTGAACCCAAAATCAGCCTGAAGAGGGTTGGGCTCCATCAGACCATTTTGCCCTAGACACACCCTCTGCTGCTATGGTTGCAGTAAATGCAGTGCCTCTACAATCCTAAGGGGTTATGGGACAGACAGACACATTAATTAATAATCCTACTAATTCATTATTTTGTTATGCAGACAGACATATCTTTTGGATCCATTTTGGGGGTATATTCTGCAAATTAAAGATGTATTATTTCTATTTAGTATAATTCTGGAATAAGGACACTCATTTGGTCTTTGCTTTCCCAAATACATATTTTTTCAACACCTGTTTATATTTCTACGATGAAGTATTGTACTGATTTACACTATTTACATCATTCAGAGTATTGCCATATCTTTATTGCCATATTCATGACATTTTAACTGTTGTACACTCTGGCCTTCTTCAGATGATAGAACAATTTACCCCTGTGGACTAAATAAAGAGTTCAGTTCAAAATTCCAATGTATATCACCTGAAGAAGGCCAAAGTGTACACTGATCGAAACATCATGAATATGGTAATAAAGATGAGGACAACAATCCAAATGATGTAAATAGTGTAAATGTTTTTTACATATTTTTTGTTTTAATGTTTATAAACTTTGGTGGTAATGGACACTTAATAGAAGTGGTTGTTTAAAGTTAAACCAAATTTCTTACTCGAGAACTTATATCTACATTTTGATAAAATAAGTGATTATTTTTTATGTAATGTTGATAATGTAATGATTCTCTATTTTGGTAAGTTTGCATGTTTATAAAAGTTATATTACAGACTCAGTGGATGGAATTGTACTTTGTTAAAAATTTGGATGGTTTGTATGTAATGTCACTGAAAATCTTATGATCTCTAACCACTTGGTCTCACTCTTGATTGTTTTATAAAACTTAAACATCCTCTATAACTTTAAGAAAATAATAATTAATTAAATTTTGTTGAAACAGTTGGACCCTTTTTTTGTGTATTTGATATTATGAGCACATTTCAGCTGATCAATTATTAATCTCACTTTAAGAAAAGAAAGGAAAAATCTTATTTCTCTAGGAAAATAAAAATGCCGAAAAAATACAATAAAATTTTTTTTTTTTTTTAATATCCCAACTGGATCAATCCATTTCAGCAGCCCTTGATATACAGAAAAAAAAAACTGCCACCCATGTACCCAGTGACTTCTGACTTATACACAGAGAAGTTTCTCAACACCATTGTTTTGAAATCTATACAACCTGGCTGACAAGCCAATATATGCCATCTCTTTCAACTTCCTCACTCTCTAACTGTGCTCCCGTCCATTATCTGTACCTTATCTTAGAGATGGTAATACTTCCTCTTCTCATTCTAGATGTGGTCTACTATACTATATATTCTATCTGCTCTTTGATTATGGCTTTCTTAAATTCCTTGAGTTTGACTTTTAAAGGACAGATGGTTTTCTTGTAGTTGCTTTTCCATATTTGCATGAATGTCATGAATGCACTTTTTAGTCAAACCTTTCTCACATTGTTGTTGTCATAGATCATCCTTTCAGGTGGTGTCATACAGTTCCCCCCCTGGTGGATGGGTTCTCGTGTGGCTGATTAAACCATCATGGAACAACAGCAGACTTTTCTGCAAGAAGGACATAAAAAAAAGACCTTTTATGAGAGCAGCATAAGGATTTTGCATGTGATGGCATGCCTCTATATACTGAACCAACCTTGCATCTATGGTTTGGACAGCAGTGAAATGTAACCAGGTGAAAGGTCTGTTGGAGGTCAGTACAGGTGATACATGGACATCAGAGTCATTCTGAAGACCTCTAATATTTTCCCTATCAATTAAAAAAACTTAGCTGGGTACCAGGCCAGTTGGTGATGTGTCTATATAAACCAACACTTGTGGCAAAAGGTAGTTTTTACTAATAAACACCTCCATATTGTAACATCAACAAACCCATTCAATCCATTCTTCTTACAAAAATTAAGCCCATAACTTTGATTATAATATTATTTTATGATATATATATCTCTGTCTCTCTCTCTCTCTCTCTCTCTCTCTCTATATATATATATATATATATATATATATATATATATATATATATATATATATATTCTCTCTCTCTCTCTCTCTCTATCTATCTATATATATATATATATATTTGTCTCTCTCTCTCTCTCTCTCTATATATATATATATATATATATATATATATTGAGTAGATGCCCATTTATTTTAAAACAGTATTTTATTTCACCTACCTGCTTGAAAATTTGAGAAATCTTATTAAAGAAAATACATTTCTGCTAATGATTTTAAAAATAATTCAGCAGATGTTATTTTATTCATGGTAACTGGCTGGGCATAATGGTGTGCAAATTAACAAAGAAAGGAACAAGCACAATTATAAGAGGATATATGGACCAGTTATAAGGAAATCCTTATTTACCATTTTATAAAGTTTGAAACAATTGGCAATTAGCCAATGTTTTGCCAACCATTCCAATAAATAATATAATAAATACATAGTGTATATAAGCAATAGTTATCTCATTTTGAGTCTTGCTAGCTTCCAACAATATCTGAATGATGATTTTTGGTGCTGCCTTACCTCTTGCCATTTATAATACTGGGTGCCAATATGCTGAACATCAAAGATTCTACACTTTTTATATCAACACTGTGATACTGAGAACACTCCTGAAACAACTTGTAAATGATTAAATGAATTTCAATTGTGAAGGTGGAAATGCCAGATGATAGTAACTTACCAAGTCTAGCTTAGTTGTGGCATAAGGCCATGAGTATGGGGCAACCGGTAACGATCAAACTCCCTATTCAGTCGTAACTGATCTGACGAAATAAGTTTGCTAACCAATGCCCTGATAATGCCAGATGATACACATATATTGAATTGATATATTGTTAAGTTTAAACTATCCAATTTTAAACAAATTTGAATAAGAAATATGAAAGTTATGGAATATTCCATTTTTCTGAACCATTTTGTATAACATTATCTATAGATTTTTTTGGCAATTTTTAATTTTCATGCCTGCAAAAAAACAGTGTGTCAAAAGAATGTTTTTTTTTCCCCCTTAACCATACTATTATTTTAACTACCTTCACTCCCTAGCAATATTTTCAAAATATGTGAACCAACTACAATGCAATATTTATTATTTACCATTTTATAAATAACTATGAAAACAAGTTTTTTTTATTCACAATTTTATAAAAATATCTGACATTTCGAACAAGAAAATTTAAATAAACATGATTTTTATTCACATTATGTTTTCTTAAATTATTTTATATCAAAGATTAATTTTTATTTTAATTTTCCAATTTTTTATAACCATATAAACGTTTTTTTTGTTTTTTTTTTATATAAAATTTTTAAATCATTGCTAATTATTCTAAAAATGCCTAGAAAATCTGCCAACAGGTTATTTATTGTCAACCAAATGCTGACTGATGAAAAAAAAACTAAAAACACTTGGTAAATCTGGTGAATTGTATTATTTGGAATGGTTGGCAAAACATCAGCTTATTGCTAAACAATTCAAACTTTATAAAATGGTAAATAATAAGGATTTTGTTATAGTTGGTTCAGATATTTTTAGAATTTAGTCAAGTTTTTTAGATTTATGAATAAAAAAGTTCATATTTATTTATTAAGTTCATGAATGATGAACATCAAGTTGTATTTTAATAAAATTGTATTAGTTTGTAGAATGTTGTAGATAAATCTAATAAATAAATAGTAAATTTTCAAGAACAAA